TCCTGCTTCTTTCTCTCCTCACCCATCAGCCAACCAACTTTTATCTGCTTCAGGTGGGACCTGGAGGTCTCCCAGAACAACAACTGACCTGCAGACTACAGGGATCCCCTGGAGAAAATGGCAGCTTCAGAGGGTGGACTCTATGGCATCACATCCATGCTGAATTTCCTCCATTTCCAAACTCTTCCCAGGCTCTGTCCACAAAATTCCAGGGATTTCCTAACCTGGAGTTTCCAACCCTACTGCTCCCTTGTCTTCCGCTTTCCCTTCCTCCCCACCACTAGCAGCCTGTACCCAGGAAATCTATAGCCAGTTGCATGGTCAACATTCTCTATTTTATTCTCACAACAACGCTGTGAAGGAGGTTATGCTGAGAATGTGTAACTAGCCCACGGTCATCTGGCAAGCTTCCACAGCAAAGTGGGTCTACCAGCTACAGTTGCCAGGTCTTCTGCTATGGTGGGAGACCTCCCACCAGCAACCCCCCCCCTTTCCACCACCACTCTGTCAGGTGGCAACAGGACAGTTAATTAAAAATTGGCTCAGACATGGTGTCACATTGATCTAGGAATCTTGACATTCCTAGAGCAGCATGACTTCACCTCCAGGTTTTCCCCAGAAATGACATCATGCCATTGTGCCACCAGTGCCACCAGTGCCACCATGAGCCCACCCCATCTCCCACCAGGTGCCAGCCATCAGCTGGCAATCCTACTCTCAGATCCTGTGCTGAAACCCTAACCACCACACAATACTGGGTTTCATGGGGTGGTTACTTTTACCAGTCCCATGGTAGCAAGTTGCCTGGTTATTGCTGGCTTTCATGGGGTGGTTACTTTTACCAGTCCTGGAAGCACATGGTAGCAAGTTGCCTGGTTATTGCTGCCAGGCCTGGCTCCAATGATTCCTCCCTCATAGGTCAAAACAACTTTGGAAAGGGCTCCCCTATCCTATTCTGACAAAAATCAAGGCTTGAAGACCGGCAATACTGTTGTGGGTGCCAAACAACATCCACAGTGCCCCATTGAAAGGGTGTTAATTTCTTAAAGCTCTAGGCACTGCTCTCCCCCCCACCCCCCCAATTTATGGTTTCTGTAAACCTGGGTCATTTTTTCAGGTCTGTAGAAAGATCTGCCTTGTCTATCCATGGCTACAATCTCTGGATTTCAGTATTCAGATTTGGCCATGCTGAGCATTAGATATGTTAATTCATCAAATAATTTAGCACTTAAGAGGGGGGTTTTTTTGGGGGGGTATCAAGCAACTGAAGAATAAGTACATTTAAAGGAGTTTTATTTTTATTTTTTACATTATGCATCACCACCTTACAATCTAGAAATCTCTTTTCAGCCTGCAACATGCCTATTCATTCTGTAGCAAGAAAGTTCAGACAAAGACCAACCAAGGCACGTGTCTTGGTTAAATTCTTTGGCCATTGTCCTAGGCCGGGAAGAAACATGGTTCATTATTCATCAGTCTGCTTGAGAATAAATCCCATTGCATTCAATGGGATATTTCTGTGTATACAAGATCAGTCTGTGTGAGTTTTTATATTAGCTGTTCTCCCACAGTATGTGGTTCTTTTTTTTGTATCTGCTACACAGATACAAGATTCCAAGTTACTCTGAATTCATAGGGCTCTGCAAAATGGGTAGTTCACATGACTATGCCAGAGGTAGCCTAATATAGGGTTCTCCAACTCTCTTTACAAGCAGTGCGGTATATGACTACTTTGGAAGCATAGACTCTGAGCTATTGCTAAATTTTTTGCTTATCCATAAACTTGCTGGCAGCATTGACTGAAATTTTTCAGCCTCAAATTCTTGTCTGTAAAAAAAGTAGATATGATTCATGACTTAACGCAGTAAAGTTTCACTTTTTCCGTATTTCAAAGTAGAGAAGGAGTAAACCTATATTATCTAAGTACATGAGAGAATCCTAGTGAAAAGGGCAAAACTGAATTAATTAAGAAATGTTCAGAGTTAGGAGACAGAGGAATGGTTATGTAATAAAGACCAGGCACACTGCTCCAGGTGAGCTATATTAAAGGTAATAAGGTCCCAGATGGAAGAGGGATGATTAATAATGGGATTTTATTTAACGATAATTGAAATGCATTTTGGCTTTTCTTTATTCTACTGGCTGAAATGCAGTGAGTACACTCTAGGGAGAAAGTTCTAGCAGAGGCAAAGGTTCCATGACAGTTGAAACTTTCAACGGGGGGTGGGGGGGAGATGGAACCAGTCTGTCAATTGAGAGCCTATAGATCAAGCTGATGACATCTTTACTAATCAAAAGTTTTTGAGCAATTGCTGTTTTATTCTACTCTTGTCTTGCTGTTGGGACAACTCAATAAAAGGTGAAACATTAAAACTTGATTTGGCTAGAGGGTTTCATGTGTTAGAAAGGGCACATATTCAAAGGAACACTTAACATGGATTCATGGTCCCATGACACTTGTTAACACCACCCAGGCAGTCCATTCAGGCTGTTTAGAGCTAAAGGGGTTGATTTTTTTTATCCTCTCACTGCATGCCTCTAGAAGAAGGTGAGATGCTCCAATTTGCTTAGTAGCTGTGAGTGGCTAATGGTTTCCCTAAAGTGATTAACTGGGGCTCAAGAACATAATCTTAGCTAATGTAGGCCATAGTGCTGGGGTTCCTGCCAGGGCAAGAGATCCTTCAGGAAAGATTGTCAATAGTGGAACAAAGGCTAATAAAAGTTGAAAGTAAAAATCAATACTGAGTATGATTAAACTGTAGATGGATGTACAGCAAGCAACATGGTGTGTCCGTGGACTTCAGTATCTACCATGGAGGCTGATGTTACTAAATAGTTTAGGGATGATTTTTTTTGGTCCTGTTCTCCTTCTCAACAAAGGCTAACATGTGGGGGGCTTTCTCCATTTTATTATCACAGCTATCATAAACTAGGTTCTGCTGACACCTAGTGGCTACCCGAAGGCCATTCAGCAGTTTTCATGGTTGAGGGGGACTTTGAACCCATGCTTTTGTAGTTTGTCCAGTGCCCCATACACTACACTACACTGACAAAACAGCTTTCCTCATATAGTACACTGTTACACATTTAGGGCAGTCCTGTTGGCCACCAGAATTCAGCTAATGCTTGGTCCAACATGCATGTGGAAAATCAGTGATTGCTATGAGAAATAGTTGTAGAATGGCACGTATCTGTCAAGATTATATTGCTTTTTCATGGAGATATTACATAGTTAGCACCTAATAACAAAACTTAGGGTGGGGCTGACTGAACAGCACCAGGAGGGAATGGCAGCTTTGGTATTAACTTTAGCTACTTTGTACATTTGCTCCACCTGCATCATTTCTTAGTTGTGTTCAGTTGTTCCATTTCTGGTGCTCCTGCCTTGTGATGTGTGTTTGCCACTTTGTATGAACAGGGCAGTGCCCATATTCTCAAGCTTCAGTATAAGCAAATGTGTATCTGCAACAAACATCACAACTTGACCATGTGCATGTGCTTCAAAGCTGGAAAATATGCACATTGCCCTATTTACACAAACTGTCAATAGCACATATTGGGGAGATTACTGGTAGAGTGCTGTCCCAGTATGTGAGGTAGTATCTTCAAAAACACAATGACTGAAAGGGACTCTTATGAAACAAAAAACCTGGATAATGAGAGTTCTCCCCCTTTCAGGTGAGATGTCTGAAAAGTTAAGCAGATGCCGGAAGGAGCTAACAGCGGCTATTGACAGAGCATTGGAAGATCTCTCAGTTCCTCTCCATCACTCCTCAGATAGTACCACCAACCTGGATTTTGACTTGCTGACAGTGGAATCCTTAACGGCTTCCAATGAAGAACTCATTAGTCACAAAGAAGAGCCCATTGTATGTTTTCCTCAGCAGCTTTTATCAGATTCATCTGTTCCAGAAAAAGAGAATCCTCTCAAGACAAATTTCACTCTCCTGATCACAACCTCCAACACTCCTTCAAAACGGGAGCCATTGATAAGCAAGGAAAATACATGTCTACATCCTCCGGTTCTCATGACTGACAGGCAGTTTCTCATTGGGTATGCTTTACCTGTCACAGGTGTAATTTTTTGTTGTCATTAACTTCTATTTTGATGGTAGTTCATCTGGCTTTTTGCTGATCCAAAGGGGTGACCCAAGACACTTTGGTGTTGGAGGAGGAAAATTGACATGGTGCTCCCAATGATAAAAATATAGCAATGAGGAGTAACCCTCCTGCATCATGTATCAAAATACTTGAACTTGCTCTCCTTCTATGGAGTTATGCATTAGACCATGGATCTCCTCTATTTTGTAACCTTGACTATATAAACCATAGAATTCTTGTGGTTTGGATATTCTTTTTTCCTTCCCAATCCCTGTCCAAGCACTGCAAAGGATTAGTCTCTTCTATAGCTACTAGCCACTGTAGACTGTTTCCAGCCCTGACAACCCTATGCATACGAGCCAGATTTTAATACAGTAATGGCCATACCAGTGCATACATTCTAAAATAATCAGAAAGTCAAGAACTGTACTGCTTGCTATTTATTTGAATGACAATATCCTTTCCCTGTTGAGTATACTGCTGGTAAAGAGGGATGTGTCCTTTTCAGTTACAAAGTACTCTCGGCTTTTGTGTGTTTCAGAAAAACTGATGAAAGGCCAACAAAGCTAGACACAAGTGTAACTGCCAATGATATCCCTCTAGAGTGCCCGAAAGATCTTGCAGATATGGATGGTGAGTGATTTTTGCTCTGCTCTGGGGACAGGGAAGTCTTTTCCAATTTTTATTTATGATGTGCATGAGAGCACAATACAAATACTTACACCCCTATTTTAAGAACATTCATAACAGGCCACTATCAAAAGATACTGGAAAATAGGATACATGATGTTACCAGCACCTACTAAATCCTTATTAATGTGAAGAGCAATATGGACTGGAACAAACAGGAGCAGCCCAGGTGAAATGGGAGGTAAGCTCACAAGTATGTGCATCAGAAGCTGTTTGGTTCAAGTCCTGGCAAGGGTACACTGCTTCAAGACATACAGGGATTCCTGCACTATGTTTTATTTGTTTAAAATAGTTATATATTGCTTTTCTGTCATATACTCAAAATAGGGAAAAAAATTCCTGGAAGGCCTTTGATATGAATTGATGGATTGTGGGACAGTTGTTTGTTGGTTTTAGGGTACTTGTTTTTACTGTTATTTTAAATTGCTTTAATGTTGTTGTAAATTTTTGATATTATTGTCAGCTGCTTTGGGGGCATTTTAGCTGGAAGGCAGCATGTAAAAACACTTAAATAGACTAAATTCCAGCTGAGCAAAAATTCTACTCACAGCTGAGCTCCATGGTTTTGACTTCTTAACCAGGAGACTCTGCTCAGCCCTCAGGAGTTGGAATGATTTATCCCTAAGAAATTAAGTATGCCTTCTATGCAAGGCACTCCAAAGGGATCTGTTGAGGATGGGCATCAACGTGGCAAATGGGGTTCAATGTGGCCAAGTGCAAAGTGATGCACATTGGAGCCAAAAATCCTAACTATAAATACATATTGATGGGGTCCGAACTGAGAGAGACTGACCAAGAGAGAGATCTTGGAGTCGTAGTAGATAACTCAATGAAAATGTCGAGACAGTGTGCGACTGCAATAAAAAAGGCCAACGCTATGCTCGGGATTATTAGGAAGGAACTGAAAACAAATCAGCCAGTAACATAATGCCCCTGTATAAATCAATAGTATAACCTCATTTGGAGTACTGTGTACAGTTCTGGTCACCACACCTCAAAAAGGATATTATAGCATTGGAAAAAGTGCAGAAAAGGGCAACTAGAATGATAAAAGGGTTGGAACAGTTTCCCTAAGAAGAAATGTTAAAGCACTTGGGGTTCTTTAGCCTGGAGAAATGATGGCTGAGGGGTGACATGACCAAGGTTTACAAGATTATGCATGGGATAGAGCAGGTAGAGAAAGAAGTACTTTTCTCCCTTTCTCACAATACAAGAACTCGTGGGCACTCAATGAAATTGCTGAGTAGTCAGGTTAGAACCAGTGTTCCCTCTAAGCTGAGTTAGTGTGAGGTAGCTTACAGTTTTTCAGCCTCCAGCTCACACGTTTTTGTCTTAGCTTGGGAAGGATGGCTCCAGAGCAAACTAATTTATGCAGTAGCCAAATTGCTCACTCACAACTTTAATGCCAGTAGCTCACAAAGTAGAATTTTTGCTCACAGGACTCCACAGCTTAGAGGGGGTATTGGTTAGAACAGATAAAAGAACTTCTCCACTCAAAGAGTGATTAACACATGGAATTAACTGCCACAGGAGGTGGCGGCAGTGGCTACAAGCATGGACAGCTTCAAGAGGGAATTGGATAAACATACGGAGCAGAGGTCCATCAGTGGCTATTAGCCACAAGGTATAAATAGGAACTCTCAGGCTGGGGCAAGTGATGCTCTGTATTCTTGGTGCTTGGGGGGGGCAACAGTGAGAGGGCTTCTAGTGTCTTGGCCCCACTGCTGGACCTCCTAATGGTACCTGGCATTTTTGGCCACTGTGTCACAGAGTGTTGGATTGGATGGGCCATTGGCCTGATCCAACATTGGCTTCTCTTATGTTCTTATGTATGATTTTAAGCTTTTTATGGTCTTCACTGTGGACAATACATAGAAGAACTAATCTGAAATACCTGATGTGTTAGATAAAAGTTTACAATAACTCCTTGAGACTTTATCAATCTTTGCTTCAGATGTTAGTCAGATTTATATGCAACAAACTGATGAATGGAGATCTGTTCCATAATATTGTTAACACAACTAAGGATTTAGTGTGAATTGAACTTGCATGTCATTTCCAATGGGCTGGATCCAAGCTCTTTGAACAGAAGGAGTTTGCAGAAGTGGATCTTTTCTGCCTTCCCCAGTAGCCCTCCACCACACCCAACCCAAGCTAATGGCATAGTTCTAGAACTTGTGGTTAGAGTATAAATTATGTTCACAAACTTTCAGCTTAATATGTCCAAAGGCATAACTGCAAGGCGCACTGTGGTAAGTAATTCTGACAGGAAATTATAGAAAGGCAAAAAAGCCAACCATCCACCTCTTTTAGAGATAGGTTTCATACTTGGGAGACAGTTTCATGTTTTAGGCCCCAGTGTTTAAACTAGCATCCATTGTTCAGAATATTTCATTTTCACTAAGCTCCTGACAGCAGTTGATAAAGCTTAGCTGAAACCATTTGCGGGGTGCAGCCATGGCTCAGCGGTAGAATATCTGCTTTGGGTGCAGAAGGTTCAACCTCCAGTTTAAAGGATCAGGCCCTGAGACTCTGGAGAGTTGCTGTGCATCAGAGTAGACAATGTTGGCCTTGACAGACCAGTGGAATGAATTGCCGTGTGTTCAAAAGAATAATCCCCATTGATATTTGAAATAAGATTAAAACAACAATTTTCTCTCCAGACTAAACTGACACCCCCCCCACCACATTCCTTAGGGTCCCCCTATCCCCCATTAGTAGCATTTCACAGTTGGCCACGGTTGGAGGGGAGAAGCAAGAAAGGTCATTCTGCCATTGGAAAATTTAGTTTGGATCCATTAGCTATTACAACAGACTGTGGAAAGTTGTGGGTTCTCCATTAACACAGTTGGAAAAGATACAATATTTGTTAGCTGAATGAAAATAGGCTGGTTATATTAGAAACTGGAAGTAATGTTATTCTGGCTGATTTCGCACTAGTGCTGCCTCGATGGTGTGCCGCCGTTTGCCCCGATACTATTGGTCAATTTCACACCCGAAGCTGCGGGGCTGCATTTGACCCGCAGCTTCACCCGATTTCCTCCGCAGTTTCGTGATCCTCATTCTGTTTTCTATTCTGTGTTCATGCTGAACATTACCCTCCAGATGTCTATCAGCTTTTCAATCAACCTGTTGAAGAAGAACTGACATTTGTTGCATTTTTATCTTTTCACTGAAGGAAACTCAGATGTTTGCCCAGCAGAAAAGGTGCAAAGGAAGCCAGACTTCGATGAACTGCAGCAAATCAGCAGGCTCAAAAGAGAACTGTTGCCTCCAGATGAGGCTTCAGCCTTTGGCCAGGAGACAAGGAGCAGTTTCGGAAGAATCCTGGAGAACAGCCCAGAGGATGAGGAGATAATTGAAACCCTGCTGGATATGGAAGAGGATTACAGGCTGAACAGCTCCATCCTGCACCAGCCCTAGGTAAGCTGGTGCAAGGTGTGAACTATTTAAAAAAATTGATAATAAGCAGTACTTCTGAACCATGGAAACTCCTGTTTGGGGCAAGATGTACCATTAAAATGAATGATTAAAAAACTTGCATGAAGCCATGTATTTTTCCTATAGGCCACCAATGAGTTTTCAGTCAGGGCAACTATTAGAAAAAATAGTATCAGTTAGGTGTTGTCCCTTGGTTGTGTTTCACGACAAGGAATACAACAAGGAGTCTGATATTAAGCAATTGCCTATACCATTATGGATTTTCACAAAGCCATGGATATTTAGTTATCTTATTACAAGTGCGAAAATAACATTGTCACATGTGCTGGACTCTACAGAAAAGAACATATGGGTAGGAGCCAAGAAACAATGACAGAGTTCCAGTGCAGACTTGATCCTGCTGTTCCACTTGTTCTCCTCAAAAAGCCACACCTGAGGGGCTGAGGCCCCTTAAGAACAGTTGGTGATCACGTCCTTTCTTTCACGTGCATGCAAGTACCCTTCCAAGAGGAGTTTAGATTCAACCATTAACAATTCAAGAGCAAGAATTACTGATTATATTAAGATATAGGATAAGTCAGAAGCATCTTGAAACCAAATTTCCAGGTTGTTGCCCCAACAGAATCCCAAGGATGACTTGTGAGGATTATGCTTAAGGGCATCCTGTGTAGGGAAGCTACATTCACTCAGGGCCTTTCCATGCAAATCCACTCAAAGAGAAGAAATCTCATGAGTTAGTGGGAAAGCAGTTGTACAAAACACATCATTCACAACAGAGGTCCAATGACTAAAGCTTCCATTATAAATTGAATTAGGAATGGGTGAGATTTGAAATTGTCTTCTTGCTTTTCTGGAATTAGAAAATATGATGGTTACCCTTGGAGGGAAATCTGTTCTGTTGTTGCAGTGTTCTTTTTAAAGCATTTCAATCCATAGTTTGTCCCTCTAAGAAGAATCAGTGAAAGTGGTAAAGTTCTTCATAGGTGCTCTGTGTTTTAAGAGATGCAGATAATGGTTGGGTAGCTTTTCAAGGACCCCACTGAGCTCAATGTTATGTACTTCAATGTAATATGTTAATAACATACAACCCTTAACCATTTGCAAGACAGTTTAAAACAGTTCTCTTTGGTACGCATAAAAACAGAACTTAACAGAAGCTAAATGCTATTCTTCAAAACATTCATCTGTTAAAGTGAAAAAGTGTTTTTTTGTTTGTTTGCATCATTTAACTGTCAACATGTTTGACAACTGACACAGCCACTCTTCTTTTGTTTGATACAGAAGAACAAGTTTTTTATTCAGTCAACCTAGTTCTGGCATTATGTATTGAAAGAATGTGCATTCTTTTGCTTTCATGTATGAGCCTCAAAAATGCAATGACATACAACTCACATACAAGCAACTTAGGTTACATTTTGAGAATTCAGCTGCTCCTTCCCTTAGGGAGCAATAAGAATAAAATTTTATGCCTGCTTTCCAAAGACAAAAACATTTCTTAATAAAAAAAGGATTTCCCTTTGGTCTAGCCTATTTGACTGACATTCCTATCAAATTCCAAAGTCAAAGAAATCTAAGCCCAAAGGCATTTTAAATTGATTTCAGATAAATGATGATAGAAATCAATGCTCAGCTTCTAAAATGAGAGGGACTGGTCTCAAGCTTTACCAGAATCAGTCCCTGGGAACTCTTCCATCTAAATTCAAGGCTGAGCAATTCTACAAGGTAGAGAAGGTATTGTGCTTAAGGAGCAATGCTGAGCCCTGTATGAAAGACCATGACTGACTCCTGTACCAGTATTTTAAAGAAATATTAATGTAAAAGGCTAGGAATGTTTTTAGATTAGCAGTTGGTCCATTCTAATAATCATCTTTCCATATCCAATTCTGCTGAGATTATAAATGCCATTTTAATAAATTAGACTCCCAATCTATTAAAGACAGCTTAGCCATTTATTTTACATATAAATAAAACAGTTCTGAAGGGGAAAAAGCACCCTTTGGTTCTAGATGATGCATGCACCCAGAGGAGGTACTCCCTTCTATGGGAGATAGGAAATAATGCCTCTTCTAAGAAGGCATCTGCCAGTACTTATGTTAACTTTATATTGTAAAAAAAAAAAAATCAACCAAGTACACATTGCAGCCTTATTATTAAGCCTGATAAATGGTTCCAAGTTAGTCATTTATGTTCTAACCAGGCTCATCCTGTCAGTTTCCAACACACCTGAGCTGTAATAAAAGAAGACATCAGAGGAGAAGCAAAAATCTCCTGTAGCTACACAGCTCACAGAAGTTCTGATTCTGTTTATTCTGACCATCAGAATACACTGTACATAACCAATTTAACACCAGCTACTAAACCAGCTCAGAACATGGATGTCTGCAATTCTTCCTTAAACATGCCTTCAAAGCGGAGGTCTTTAGCCATGAGTTCTTCTTCCACATCCTCTAGTGCCCACTGATGGTCAGTCAACTCCAAAGCCTCCCATTCAGTCTGGAATGACAAACAGCTTTGACAAGGACAGCAGAGGTACCCCAACACCAGCTTTTGATCCCTATCTTAAGGTCCATGTTCAATTTCGACATAATTCATTCATGACAGTTCAGACGCTGCACTGGTTATCAAACAGCCTGAAGTTCTGTGGCTAGAATGCATGCAAATATTCTGAAACTGGCTAGCTTTGGGTGAAAAGAAACTAACTTGTAGTAGGAGTTTTCAATAAGTACTGGAGTTGGTGGTTGCATGGGAAAGATATGAGGCTGTGGAAAACAGCATGGTACACATGTTCCAGGGATGGAAATCTTGGGGCTTGCTTGCAACAGGACAGCTGGGCGCGGGGAGATTGACCAGTGAAGAAGGAGTAGTTTGCACCAGTTTGCACCGTCTGTAACTGCCTGGCCTTTCTGGCTAACATATGTCTATGGGACCTCATAATATTCTATAAACCCAAGAATTTTCTGATGCTACATGGCAAAAAATATGTAAATCTTTATAGAATGAGATACTCACATAATGGCCTTCTACCTCATAAACAGATTTTAGAATGCTACTGAAGTTGTTTAGAGATATCAAGGTCTTACTTCTTCACAGTAACTAGCTCCTCCATACTCTGCTCACAGAAAAATAAGAAGTAGGGAGAAGGGTTCTATTATTTTTTCCCTGAAAACCTGGGGGTTCTCTTAGGTTTACAGAACCCCCCCCCCTTATCAGTATATGACTCCACTGCACAGATCTTTTAAAATCTGTTTGCTGGGGCCCTGTTCAGAATTAGATACTGAGAGTGCTTCTTTTCCTTGAATCTCCCGGGGGGGGGGGGACTCCAAAATCAAAAACAAACTGCATAATTACAATATTAAATAAATGTAATAATATTAATAAATAAATAATTCTATTGCCTAGTATAGTTGTGCTAGAAAGCTGCCTTTCTGATCTACAATTGCTGATCTTCCCAGTTAAGAACCCAACCAAATGTCTAAAGAACACCACGGCTCTTGGGAACACCATCTGAAATTATTGCATTGCACAGATCTCACAACTTGCAAAAAAAATGCCAATCTGAAAGTATTGCATTGCACAGATCTCACAACTTGCAAAAAAATGCCAATCAAAATCTTGCAAGCCCACAGTTAACATTACAACGACATTTTTAAAAAAGGACTGGGTGAAGGGAGGGGGAGGAAGTGGCAGCGAGAGGAGACAGTGAAGGTGAAAAGTTGAGCAGAAAGCAAGGTGGCAGCAATGGAGGGAGGGTGGGGGAGGCAGGAGGTGGAAGCAAAAGTGCAAGGAGAACAGCAGGAGGAAGAAGGTGCTGGCAATGCCATGGAAAGGAAGCACAAAGGTCAGGCTTTCTGCTCCAAGGCTCCCTCAGTCTCGCAGATTACGAGGCAGGTCTAAGGACTCAAGAGAAAGTATGCCTGATGTGCTTTTCTATCCAAGCATTCCTCTTCCCCAATCAACTAGCTGCCCCATCAACTATGCTCTGTCGAGAACAAGATGGGAGGAAGCAGGGGCACGTAATTTTTCTTCCTCTATGAGTTCTCACAGGTGCCCCTATTGTCCTATCATAAAATCTGGAGTGCTTATTTCAATATTTGAAATCAAAGCCTCCTACCTTGAATGCTTTATTGGTATCTGCAGGCATGGCCATTGCTGCCCCTGTTATCTGCTCCTGCATTACTCTGGACTGGTCAGCAGCTGCAAATATATAAGGAGTGGCTCATGTTACTCTGTACAAAAAGTATTGGGACTATCAACAGAGGAGACTTTCAGTCAACACAGTACAGTGCTCAACAGACAGACCCACACAATATCGTTCTGCTGCTATGCAAAATCACAGAGAAAAGTTTGAGACAGTCCTTCATCTTCAACAAGTGGAAGTATTTTGTCATTAAATTCCTGGGAGGCCAAGACAGGTAAACTAGTCTGAATGCATAACAAACATTATAATCTACACAAGAGATCAATAAGGAGAGAATATCCATAGGATTTATCTACAGAGTGTCTAGAAAAGCATACAGGGATACCACCTAACTCTTACCAGATAAACATTTAAGATTAGGCTAAACAACCACATTATAAGGCAAAACATCCAGAAGAACTTGTTCAGTTCCTGATAACTCAGCACTTCTGTGAAGGAACAGCCAGCATATTCATCAAGCATGGTTTAACCTCTCTACTTATCGCTTTTCAAGCTACACTTAACTTTATGAAAACAGCAACAGCTTACCATTATCTTGGCCAAGGATGAGGGTATAAATGCTTCGAAGTCCAAATACATTCAGAAAATACCAGGAAGCAGAGCTTACCCTAACAAAACAAAGATATTCATCTTGTTAAAACTGTACAAGTGCCAAATACCTAACTGTACAGTACCATCCACAGTTCTACATGTTTCAAACCAATATTAACTTTGGGCAATCTTACCAGGATGCATCCAAAGTAAGCAACTCAATCCCCTGCTGCAGCATTGGTTTAAACCGCAGTGTCAAAGGAAAAGGGACCTTTGCTGCAAGGAAGAAAAAAACCTGGTCACAAAATATTACATTGCACCAAAACACATACTGCTTTACAGAGGAACACAAGCAAGAAGACCCTGCCCCAAGGAGCTTAAAACTGACATTTTGACAGTGGGAGAAACAGGACTAGCAGGCAAGAAAAGTAAAAGGTAAGGTATGTTATAGATGAGTGTGAGAACACACATACAAGGCTTGTTTTTTCAGTTGGGCTTCAGAGGGAATTCATTAGCTTCATACAAGAAAAGATCTTTGAAGAAGAATTTGAAGAAACAGGAGTAGAGCCATACATGTGTTCTAGAAATAAAGGGTGGCAACCATTTATTCTGGAAATAGGAGATATGAAGCCAGTGCTGAGATTTGTCAAAAGATGTCATATGTTCTGAGCAATGAGAGAGCTGTTATCCACAGAGGTGGGAAGACTAAGATGTGACAAGAGAATGAATTTGGAAAGGGGCCCAATTTACTGATGCACTAGTGATAATATCATGATGCAGAACATACTCACTTAAAACAAAAATTACTTTCCATAGTGAGAGAACCCACTCCCAGTCTCTACTGGGTATGAGCTCCACAGTGACAGCTTTGCTACTGAATGCCAATGCTATAGCCTCAGCGCAAGGCAAGTCACTATTTCTGTTTTACAGATATGAAACTGAAGATGAGAAATACTGACTTGCTCAAGACCAATATTTGTCGGACTTCTGGGAAAATGGCGCGGCGCTGTGGGTGCTTTCAGGACGCTCCCTGATCTCCCCGACATTTTTTGCTTTTTTTGGAGTTCCTTTCCCGTCTTTGCCAACTGTGTTAGACTCCTCCCAATCTCCTGGAGGGAGACTGGGTGCAAGAGGCTTGTTCGGTCCCCCCCGCAACGGTGATTAGCGGGGGAGAGACCGTTTAGCCTCGATGCAGAAGCAAGAAGAGGAGCAGCTTGGATTTCAAGCTACACAAGCCGCGACCTCTCTTTTTAACAAAAGGAAATATGCAACGGGAACAGAAGAGTACGGACTTCTTCACAAACTGAGTTAAATGCCCATTAATTGGTTCCCCATGGAGTATTTCTAAATACAGGAAGTGCAAGCGGCTAGGAAAGGAATTAATGATTTTTAAAAAGGGAGACAGAAGGGGAGAACAAGATACCTCAGTTGGAGAAACGGTACAAATAGAAATTCAAAATGCAGAATTTGGCCAACTGACAGTGGAACAATTTAAAAAAATATTTGACTGACCAGATTCGCCAGGTAGCTGAAGAGGCATGTAAAAACATTATATAGAATCTTCAAAGTGCATGCTTGCAAACCGAAAGTAAAGCAGAGCCCATGCAACGTCAGTGACCACAAGAAAGTTACGAAAGCAGACAAGATGATATTCAAGAAAAAGAGGTTCAGGACACAAAAGGGGAAAAAAGAAACGATCCCATACAAAACCAGGACAGCAAGAAACAAGTAGTGAAATCAGAAAGGACAAAAAAGACGACCAGCGAAACGACGCTCTGTCACTTTTGGGGGGATTTAAGTATCCCCCCGATATTTTTTTTAACTTTTAAGATTTTTGTGCACACCTGGGGACTGCCCCAAGTGTGCAGAAAATCTCCCTCCCCTCCAGGTGCCCCCGATGCACGGATTTAGGTATCCGCACGCACGGGGGCGACTTGGCTATTAGATATATAGATAAAAGAGAATGCCCAAAGAAAACCACATGCAGAGAAAAAGAAGAAGCTAGTCAAACGCAGAGGGGGACGCCCTCTTGGGAACAAGAACAGAGAAATTAAAAAACTGCAGCTAGATTTGGCAACTTGGAAGGGACAAAAATTGAAAGCTAAATATGCCGAATACAAAGATTTAAGACATCTAAGACTGACAATTAAAAAGAAGTTGCAACAGGAAATTAATCAACAAGGTATATTGTTTGGATCAGATAACGTTTGGAATAGTACTGTATAAAAGAGTTTTGTATGACAGCTCAATGAGTGTAAACAGATATTCAGACGAAATTCAGGAAGGATACAAAAGTGAAAAGGGCTATATAAAATATGTTACAACAAAGAAGGAATAATAGTGTAAAATGAATAGAATTTTGAAGGAAACTTTCAAAGGTTAGAATCATAATATTATATTAAATTAAACCGGTTTCCTTTTTTTTCTTTATAAAAAACATCATGTTGATAGGTTAAATGGCTGTGCAAGTAATTTTAGGTTTGAAAGTTATGTCATATTATTACTGATAAGAGTGAAACTGCCACTTGTATCTAGCTGACATGTTTGCGGCATTAGGTATATGGAGTTTGTTTTGAAAAATAAGTATTTTTTCTTTTAAAGGATTAAAGTAATATGTATACTTAAATTTGTTTAATTCCCTGTAAAAGTCATCTAAACGGATTTGCCAGCAGTTAAGCAATGTAGTGCTTGAAATATATGTTGTGTTACGTAATAAGGAGGGATAATTTATGTGGATTTATGTAGATACTTTGACTGGAATAATATACCAGTATGAGGAAACTTATACCAGGGCTGATGCTCCAGTTGCCTATGCGAAGGTGAAAAATAACATTTTGAGTTGCTATGGGAAAGTTTGTTTAAATGGAAGAGAATGTTTAAATATGTTATGAAAGAGATTAGATAAATATCACCGTAAGATGTCACTTTAGGTTAGCGGATATACGCGTTGCAAGAAGACGGGGACAGCAAAGGATGAGATGGTTAGACAGTGTCATAGATGCAACGAACATGAAACTGAGCCAACTTCAGAGGACAGCGGAAGACAGGAAGGCCTGGCGTGATCTGGTCCATGGGGTCGCAAAGAGTCAGACTCGACTGTGCGACTGAACAACAACAGGTATATATGTTTTTTGTTTTTGTTTTTTCTTTGTTTGTTTATATGTTCCTGAAAATTAATAAAGAGAAATCATAAAAAAAGAGACCAATATTTGTCAGGGTCATGCAAAGCCTCTGCAAAAATGCAGCAGTGTACCGACCTTCAAGACCACACAAGATAAGATTCTTAGACTGACACTTACTTGTAACAAAACCTGAGAAAGTCATATTAATCCAGCCGCCAATTAAGATCATCGGCAGTACATTCGTTACATTCCCTTTCATCATATCTGTCAACATGGTAGGATCTGGAAGGAAAGCAGTTCAGATGAACACTTAGTGGGCACCATCTACAACTCTGCAAAACTCTTGTAAAAACAATAAAGGAAACCAGTTTTGTACAAATGAAGAGATCACTCTGGCTTCATCTTACTTTCATTATTTAACTAGAATTTTGGGCTGAAAGGCCTCAAGCCCACAGACCTCCTCTTTTCTTACTTTCATGGTGAATGTCTAGGGGCCCCGCAGGCAATTTAATCCCCCCTTAACAGATCTCAGTGGCTTCCTCAGTAATGCTTCACTTCAAAACTATGAAGGGGTCAAACCATATTTTGCCAAATACTTATAGCCAGTTGTCTATTCTTAGATCCAGAATGTCTTTTCATTTTTCATATATGCTAGCTAGTTGTCAAAACTGATGGCACAAAACCAAACTAACCTATTTTATTACTGTTTTATGGTTCATATGCATCATAAAAGGAATAACTCTCTTTGGAAGGCTGTTGCTTCTTGTGACTACAGACATACCTGTCATTGGGGAGGGGGGCACTACCTTCCTTTTAGTTTTCTTAAAGAACCCATCCTCAGGATTATTGAAGAAATACTTCCGTGTTAGAAAGGACTGAAAAGAAAAGACAAATTCTAATGACAAAGGAAACATTTTAGAAGACCCCAAATGCATTGTTTGTGCTGCAATTTTTATTAACATTTGCAATTTAAACTGAACTCTTTGCATTCCCAAAGGATGGTAGATTTAACAATCTAATCCTGAATCCAGAGTTAAAAGTCCTTTTCTGTTCCCACCACCCCTACAAGTCACATTATCTCTAGCTTGCTTATGACATCATTACAGAGTCATGTTTATATACAGATTTAGCAAACCAGTAACATTAATACCACTGTCCAAGTATGAATTTTAGGAACAATAACCATACTATGCAAACAACTTTTTATCAGTTACACACACACACACACAGACACCTCCTTCATTTCATTTCTATATTCTTCATAGATAATAACTGAGCTACAAGAACCCACATTTTTGTAAGTCCAAGAGCAATACAAGTAGGCTAATTTCATACCCCATAATTTCAATGGGGCTTATTGTTCTTAGGACTACACTGTAAAGCACCAGTGTACCTAGCAAAAAATTGCCCTAAATGCATTACCCATTTTAGATAATCAGGTATCAGGTACAAGTACCTCATTGCCTTGGAAGTACTTCCTTACTGTTCACGTGAATACAAATGTTCAAGTCTGCTGCACAATGTATTTACGACATGACTAGACTATGAAAATTAAAGCTTCAACCATTGGAAAATCGAGTTTCTCTCTTCCTGTAATCTTTTCAGTTATTGAAAATGTACTGTCACAAACATGAAAACATACCTGTTTTGGAATGTACTTCCCATTTTCTCTGAGAACTCTGCTTCGAATTAGAACTTGGCTGGAAGAAAAAGCCATTACCAGACACATGAAATTTGAACTGAAAACAAAGTAGGCAGGCAGATTCCTCCAATGGTGGATTTCAAATGATAACGGATTTTATCCCTTGCCACTGATAGTTGTTTCATTTGCTTTTATATTGAGTGTAACTTATTCTGAACTATATTCGGTCCCTTGAACGGAAAGGTGGTCTAAAATATTCCTAATATATACATTCATACATTGCATTTTTGCCATACCAATATTATCTCCATGCAGGAGAATGTAATAAATAGTTAAATAACAAAATAGGAATTTCTCTCTGTAACTATGGCTCAACTGGTAATGGGGGGAAGAAGGGAACTATATTTTTGAATAAACAGCAGGCATGTACAAAATACAAATAAATTAATGCAGCTATTAGCTCCAGGTGGATAGCCATGTTGGTCCACAGTAGGAGAACAAGATTAGAGTGCAGTAGTGAGCAGGATAGGAAATCGAATTAAATAAAGACCAACAGGATTTCCAGTTTATAAGCTTCTGAGAGTCAAAGCTCCCTTTGTATCTGACAAAGGGAGGTTTGCCGCTTGAAAGCTTATACCAGTTTGAGAGCCAGTTTGGTGTAGTGGTTAAGTGTGCGGACTCTAATCTGGGAGAACCGGGTTTGATTCCCCACTCCTCCACTTGCACCTGCTGATGTGACCTTGGGTCAGTCACAAGCTCTGGCACAGCTGTCCTTGAAAAAGAGCAGTTTGTGTCAGAGCTCTCTCAGCCCCACCCACCTCACAGGGTGTCTGTTGTGGGGAGGGGAAGGGAAGGGAAGGGAAGGGAAAGGAGTTTGTAAGCCGCTCTGAGACTCCTTTGGGTAGTGAAGGGTGGGGTATAAATCCAATCTCTTCTCTTCTACCCTGGAAATCTTGTTGGTCTTTAAGGTGCTACTGGACTTGAATCATGCAGTGATTAGTTAATCCATGTATTTGCTGCAGGAAAACACAGTATGGGTGCATGGATTTTCCTACATTGAGATTATCTCCAGACTGGACAATCATTGTGCTTACAAAACAAATCAGACACTGTCATTATTTAACGTGTAAGCAACCACATTAGCTTGGCAGTCTTTATTTCCCCCCCCCCATTTTGCAATAAAAATCTCATCTCTCGATACGAAGCTTTCAAGGAAACTTATCTTTCCCCAAATATCCTTGATAACAAACTTTCATTTTTAAAGGTTGTAAATATTTGCCAAAAGTACGCATAACAAGAGCAGCACAGAAATCAACACCCAAAAACTTATAAAATGGCCTCTCTAATGACGTCAGGTTGGCTACTAAGTCTCCTGGCATTCCACAAATTATGCAAAACCGAATTATTCAAGAGGGTGTTTTTACCCAGGTAATAATGGAATGGTTCAGAACAATGCTTTAATAAAGAGAAAGGGGCTGTAGACTATCCATGTACAGTACATACTATCTGTTGCTGTATGAATTCTCCTGCTCTGTAAATAAATAAATAAATAAATAAAATAATTTCTGCACTGTTTAACACACCATGTTAATACTTATGCTTTGTTTCAGAATTCTGCTATCCTAATCTTCCTACGTTGCTTATTGGATGTCTCATCCTGCTTACACTGATATACATTGTGCATCCATCTTTCTCAGTGAGAACGGAGAACTATAAATAACATAAATTAAAAAAATTAAGTCAAGACAAAATGTAGACATCTCCAGTATTTTTAATAACATAGTTATAATTAATTTTAGGCATGTAAGTGGCTATTTAGTTTTTTAATTTAAAGACAGAACAACCATGTATTTCGGTCATCCCAGATGACAAGATCTATTAGCCAGGTTCCTCCATAGTCTGTCTTATGCATTCTTCTTTACCAGGGAGATACTACTTGTGTCCTCACCGTCCAGTAATTACTATGCCAACAGCATATTACACATCATCTGTTAGGCACCTGTGCTAGAAATTAAAACTACTGGCTGAATGCTACAATAATATATTACTGCCATCACCCCTGTTCAGCTTTTCATTAGCAGCATTATCAGAAGAGTCACCAGACAACATTGACAACAGTTACAAGCTTTTCTTACCTATCAGACACTTGCTCTTGAGTGAGCTTTTTGTCACTCTGCAGCAGTATTGACACATAGTGGCGAATCATCCCCACAAAGAAGGTGATGAAAACTATGGGAAGCACCACCCATAGTCGGATATTGGAATCCAGCAACAGCTCCGGCTCACTCATGGTTTAAATATAATTCTGGTCATACGTATCAGTCCAATCTTTAATATCTAGAGAAATACAAAGTGTGATGTAAGGACTACTTCATCTAGCCAACAAGAACAAGTTTAATTGCTTTACACTGTTCCAAGCCACCTGGAGTGTTGCCAAGTAGGTGTTCCTTATTTCAAGGGATGTTTTCTGCTCTAAACTGCTAAAGCTTTCCAATTCAACACTAAACACCTGACATTCATAGGAGTCATTCCAGAGTAAAGACTGGACCCAGGAACTAGGATAGCTCATGTTTTGGATGGGGTTGCTCTCCCCTTTAAGGAGCAGGTTCATATCTTGGGGGGTCCCATTGGCCAGGGGTACTGTAACGTTTGCCGATATTTCTTGTGGTCCTTTGTCTCTTTTTATTGTAGGCACTGGTTAACTAGTGTAGTATACGATGGTTTTATATCTTTTATTTACCCCGCCCTCCCCACCAAAGCAGGCCCAGGGAAGCTTACAAAGGTTATTGCACAACTAAAACAAATTTAACTAAAATCATAATAATATATACATAAAACATATAAAGTGCTAGAACTAAGATGATTCATATATGATGGCAGGCATGAGCAGTATTCAACAGTACAAACAATCGGCTGCTAGCGTAGTGTGGGTTACATCCGGCTGTTTATAATGGTGTTAATATTGAAATTAATATTGATGATGGTGTAAATATTGGGGCCAAGGCCTCAATTATATAGTGTGGCTCCTTAATCGAAGGCCTGGTGGAAGCGCTTCATCTTGCAGGCCTTGCAGAACTGTAAAAGGTCCCACAGGGCCCTGATGTCATCCGGGAGCTTATTCCACCAGTGCGGAGCTGGCACTGAGAGGGCCCTGGCCCTTATCACAGCCAGCCTGGCTTCTCTGGGGCTTGGCAGAGCCAGGCAGTTTTGGGATCCCAATCGTAGTGCTCTCTGGGGAACATGCTCCCTTAGGTATGTAGGTTCCTGACCATATAGGGCTTTAAAAGTAAGTACCAACACCTTGAACCAAATTCCATATGCTATAGGCAGCCAGTGTAGAGCTTTTAGCGCGGGCCGGATGTACTCCCACATGGGGAGTCCCAACAACAGCCTGGTCACCACATTCTGCACCAGCTGCAGCTTCTGGATTTGGGACAAGGGTGGCCCCATGTAGAGAGCATTACAGTAATTTAATCTCAAGGTGATCATTACATGGATCACTGTTGCCAGGTCATTGCATTCAAGGAAGGGAATCAACTGCCTCATCAGCTGGAGATGATAAAAGGCTGACTTCGCGGCAGCTGCTATCTGGGCCTCCATTGTTAAGAAGGCATCCAGGAGCACTGCCAGACTCCCAATCTCTGATGCTGGCACCAACGGCGCCTCATCGAAAGTCGGGAGTGGGATCCCTACCCTTGGACCACTCCGATTCAGACACAGGACCTCCGTCTTCGTCGGATTCAATTTCAATTGACTCAGTCTAAGCCAACCAGCTATGCTTTTCAACGCCAGGTCCAGATCTTCTGGCCTAGAGTCAGACTGGCCACCCAACAACAGATGGAGCTGGGTGTCACCTGCATACTGATGACAATCCAGCCCATGGCTCCATGCAATCTGGGCAAGGGGGCGCATATAGATGTTCAATAACATCAGGGAAAGCACTGCACCTTGGGGCACCCCGCAGACTAGTGGGTGCCTTTGGGACAGCTGCTCTCCAATGGCCACCCTTTGTCCCCAACCTTGAAGAAATGAGGAGAGCCACTGTAAGGCAGACCCCTGAATCCCCATGTCAGTGAGACAGCAGGCCAGTAGTTGGTGGTTGACCATGTTGAACACCGCCAACAGGTCTAACAACAGCAATACAGCCAAGCCGCCCTGATCCAGATGCCTCCGAAGATCATACATGAGGCTGACCAGTGCTGTCTCTGTCCCATGGCCTGGTGGGAAGAAGAAGAAGAGATTGGATTTATACCCCGCCCTTCACTTGGAGTCTCAGAGCGGCTTACAAACTCCTCTCCCTTCCCCTCCCCACAAAAGACATCCTGTGAGGTGGGTGGGGCTGAGAGAACTCTGACACAAACTGCTCTTTTTCAAGGACAGCTGTGCCAGAGCTTGGGACTGACCCAAGGTCACATCAGCAGGTGCAAGTGGAGGAGTGGGGAATCAAACCCGGTTCTCCCAGATTAGAGTCCGCACACTTAACCACTGCACCAAACTGACCAAGCTGGATTGGAAGGGGTCTAATGCAGAGGTGTCATCCAAAAAACCCTGCAACTGAATCGCCACCACAATTTGCCAAAATAGAGCAGATTGGAAACTGACTGGTAGTTAGCCAATTCGGCCAGATCAAAGAATGTTTTTTTTCAAGAGAGGATGTACCACTGTCTCCTTAAGTGGTAGTTCTGGACAGAGGTATTCAATAGAGGAAAATTCAAATGTACAACATCACTTTACAGAGAACAAGGTGAAAGTGTATAGTTTCTATTAATACTTTAGTTGAATAGAAAGACTTGTTTCTTTTGAACGACAGCTTAGCTCCCAAAACCTATTTTTAAAGTTAGGGCTCAGCGCCTGGACACATGAAACAAAACTCACAGGCAGGTTCTCTGAGATAAAACGTCTCGTCCTTACTATGAAATAATCACAGCCGGCCTTCACGTACCGGAATTAAGGACTTCCAGGCCTGAGCCCCGGCACTTCTCATCTTAAGGGTTAAGGAGGAGCGGAGAAAATGCATCAGCACAAAACCCTTCTAAGAAAGGCGACGGAGAGGAAAGGAACTCCGTCTGTCGCCTCCTTTCACGGGGGGGGACACGCAAAAGCCCGGTTACCGTTTCTTACCTCATCCCTTCAAGCTGGCCTGGTCCCACTTCACCCTTCCGGGCGTGACGACTGACACCTTTACGGAGCGCCCGGCAGTGCGGTCGTCACGAGCCTGATGAGGTCATCGCGATGCGCCCTCAGTTTACGCTTGGCGGGATCATTTGAGAGAGGGAAGAGGGCGCCTTTAGCTGTGAGCTGACGGTAAGGGCTGAGCAGGCAGGGCGGAGGTTGTGTGTGCTGAAGGGAAGAGAGGGACAGGATTGTCCGTAGCCACTAGAAGCCTTCCCTGGTGCTCGCTAGGGCTTCGTTTAAGTGGCGAGGGCTGCGCGTGTGTTCAGTAGCATTGGGGTGAACGGCTGTCATCCTAAGGCCCGCTTACACAAGAATATGTCCCGTTAATTCAAGGGATGCTTTACTTCCAAGTAAAGGCTTAGGATGTTACAGTGACCCTGCAATCATGTGGAGAGTTGTTTATGCTCAAATTCTAATAATATATTTTTTTTTGTGGGGGCTGATCTTGGCCAAGTCTGCATAGGATTGCAGGGGGGGGGGGAGAACTGTGGCCTCTTAAAAACTAACGTGTTCATTATTGCATAACCTTTTTGTGAGCCAGAGCTATTTTCAACTGAGAACTCACTCATGAAAGCTTATTGCTTATTTGTTATTTTTACTGCAGCAGACTAACATGGCTGGCCGTTCTAGAACTTGTACTGAATAGTCAGTTTGAAAATATTTTGTTGGAAAATGTGTGTATTTGGAAAAGGCTCGCTGTATTAATTCTTTAGCTGTGACTTCAGATGTGGTTAAAGAAAAGCCACATCCCATTTGTGTCAATAAGGAAGTCAGAGGCTGTCAGAGACCCATTGTTCCTCTGGTTGAAAACTTCAGCCCCTGTCACACGGCAAAGTTGCCACGGGAGAGGCACGGGAGTCCCGCGGATTTTCCTGGCGCGATCACACCCCAACATCTGGGAAGCACAGTGCTCCCATGGCGAACCCGTGGCTCCCCGCCGAAGGTGCGGAGTTAAAAACTAGTACCTACAAGGTACTAGTTTCCGGAAACCGCGGGGCAAGGGCGGGCGTCTGACCGCGTTGCCGGTGGACTGTCGTGGCATCTGGTGGCTGCCGATGTTCCATCGCGACCAAGGGGATTTCCCCCCAAGTTTCCACAGGATGCGGGAAAGCGCCCAACGGCACATGCACACAAACAGGAAGTACGTCTGTCACAGGAGCAGCGTGGCGCAAGTGTAGGTTTGAACGCGCCATGCTGCTTCTTTGCCACGCTGCGGACTAGCCATCTGATCTGCACTTGACGCCTACCCACGGGACCTCGAAAGGACTTCTGATCGGGCTGCCGCGCGTTATTTTCCTCCGGGGCAATTAGCCACCCACGCCTCCCCCCTGCATTTTCCGGCCGTGTGCCCGGGGCCTTCCATTGGGGAGACTGGGTAGGAGAATAAAAACACTGCATCAGATAAAATTATTGGAAAATGCTTCAGTTTCATTCATTGCTTTGCCTATCTAATATATCAGAGTTCTTACTAAATCATATAGTTGTTCTCAACACTGATCAATACAATGCAACATGTTTGCATATCTATATTATCAAATTTAACTGTCATGATTTCCTTCCAATGAACTTCGAACAGTGTTTCTATAATAGTTATGCTTTCCTTCAGTTCTGTTTTAGATTCCTGAGTGGTTCCAGAACCCTAATCCTATTGTATTGTTTACTGAATGTCCCCTCCTTTTGACTTACTCTGTGTAATCCACCTTGAGTCCAAGTGAGAAAGGTGGACTGTAAACAACATAAATAAAAAATAAAGGACTAGGGAAATTTTTTGTATCCTTATAAACAATACAATTTCCAGGGTTCTATGGGGTAATCCATGGTAATGAAACTAGCTTCTAACTATACTGCAGAGTTTTCACAAAGATTGTGCATGCTAGGCAGCTTTCTAGATCTTGAATAAATGGTAAGTATACTAAACTCATCATTACCTCTGTGGGGATATGGGATTATCAGCCCAGTTTCCTGCACCAGGGCATGATTTACTGGGCCAAAACTTTCCCTAGAAGCTGTATATTTGTTTTTTTCAAAGTTGAACACTTTTAGATATATTCACACATTAATAATACATGTCTAAAATAAGAAGCTGCTGTACTGTTTGCGGTTTATAACCAATATAGCCTGCTGTAGTAAATTGTCTACACCACCTGTGGCAGGCCCTTCTGCCAATCACATATATTTATTTTTTATAAATGTCATGGTTCAAACAGGACAAGTTGCTGTTACTGGAACATTGTTTCATATTCATCATTTACCCTCAATGACACATTATTCACAGAAACTGAAATTAAAAAATAATAATCTTTGTGCTGTTTATCTCTTCTAACAGGGTACATCAGAGCCTGCTGTCATGGCTTCAAGGCGGAGGTTTTCCAAGTCTGCAGCCCATGGAGAAAATCTATTAGAAAAGTCCCCAAGTACGTAAAGCAAGCACCCTTTCTACTGCTTGGAATTCCTCTGATCCTAAACACCAGCAACTAGAGCATGCAGAGAGATGTTCTCTATTGATGTGTCTCAGCTCTGGAAAACAATTTCCTCAATAGCTAGCAGCACTGAATGCATGAAGGCTCATAGAGAAAATTTCCAAAGGAGTAATATATTAATGCAAATGACCATCCTGGGGGAACAATGTTTCATGCTTTTCAAAAAGTCATTTATTGCAATTCATGGGAATGGCTGAATCTATACATCTGTATCTTATGCTTCCTGCATAGATGTATATAATATTATCACAAGCAAGAGCTATTGTATATAAAATTTTAGGGCTCAGTCATGCTTGATGTTTAGGTACTTTAAAACTCCATAGATTATTATTATTATTACCATTTCTATCCTGCCCATTTCTCACAAGCAGGACTCAGAGCGGTATACAACACACAGTATAGCAATGCATAATAAATACATACAATAATAAAACAATAAAATACACACAGTACAGTTAAACTTCAGCATTATCAGATGGCATCTGAGTGGAGAATAGAAAGGGTAGGGGAGGAAAATCTGAGAGGCCACTGATCTCTCTAGCCATCGCTGTTCTCAGCATCTCAGTCTTACAGGTCCTCCAGAACTGAGCCAAGTCCCATAGGGCCCGGATCTCACTAGGAAGAGAGTTCCACCAGGCTGGGTCCAGGGCCAAAAAAACAGCTGGACCATTTTGGGACCAGAACTGCCAGCGTAATGCTCTCTGAGGGGTATATAGGGAGAGGTGGTCCCACAGATATGATGGTCCCAGGCCATTTAGGGCTTTGAAGGTAAGTACCAGAACCTTGAACTTGATTAGGTATTCAGTCTGGAGCCAGCACAGCTGATGGAGCACAGGTTGTATGCACTCTCAAGGGGGTTCCCGTAAGGACCTGTGCAGCTGCATTCTGGACTAGTAGCTGCGTTCTGGACCAGTAGAAGTATAACATTTGGTGATAACATAAAATTTGGTGATTTTAGAAATTTGGACTACAATCTACAAACCACTCAAGTAATTGAGAATTGTGTATTTTGTGCCCTATAGTGTCCAGACCATTCTTAACAGTTGACCTACGATACATAGCCCACTGATTAAATGAATGGGATTACATATTGTAGAATAACCACTAAAAGTTGCCATGGACCTCAGATGGTGATATAAAAAGTACTTTTTATATCAGTTTCTTGTATTAAGAAGCATGATTCATATTAGTTGGTTGAGATTTTTTTCTCTTATTCTAGCAACTTTTCTGTTTTAGAAACGAAGAAGTCTCGGATCTCTGTTAAGAAAAACACAATTCCACAAGATGGCGTTGTAGAGAACAACAGTGTTTTTGGACAGCTCCTCAAGGCAGTGGGAATTACGTTGAAAGACGGAGAAAGACAGAATGAAATTGGTATAAAGCAAGTCTTTTATTATAGTCTTCTTTGGTGGGTTATGGCCTGTATCCAGCCACACATTCAAAGACACAAGGGCACTTAAGTTTCTTTAAGAAGGGACAGCAGTTTTTGTTGGTTCACTTCTCCCACTATAAACCCCCACTTTACCCCTCTGTGCTGTTCTAAGTAGAGGGAGGTTTAAAATGCTTGCACACCAGCATTTTTTTTTTGTATCTGTAATCCAGTCCTGAAGAGGGAGCCATTTACATTGCAACCCTTGATCTGTCACCATTTATGTTTCCCTCTGGAATTTTTCATATTTAAAAGCCTATCCCTTCATGTAAAAAACTAATTTCACTAGTTTGGACAGAAGACTTGCATCATTACTCTTCTGGCTATTATGTTGCCTCTTTATTGTTATGCATTTTGCTTGTCTTTTTTTCTTAAATGTACACTGTTGCACCAATTCATCACCTACTTAGACATTTTGTTTTTTCTGGTGATTTCTTTTGTCAGAGACACAACTAAGCTATTTTATCAATCTAGCTCCTGTCTGTTACATTTCAGGCTCTACTTATTATCATCTTTGTGTTGTGCATCTCTTTTTATGGATGTGGTCTTTGAGTAGCTTCAAAGAGAAAAGCAGTTCTGGGGAATGCCAGCAGAGAACTGAAAGTGAGGGAGCCACAGCCACTTTGAGTCCAGTTGTAGTAAGAAGTTCTCATTGTTAAGTGGATTCTGCTTATTAGTTCTACACTTCACTCTTTTGTGGTATTCTTTTACAGAGTTTACAGCAAATGTTATAAGGATTGTGCAAACCCTTAAGAAAAATAAATTGGAGCCTGTGAAATGTTTATATATTAGTACTGAGACCGTGAAGAACAAAAATTGAATTAAACGTAACAAGAATGCCAAACTGGTTGTTTCTTTAGACATTTTGTTCTATAAGCAGTAGTCCCCAGTGAAACTGGGACGTTCTGGGGAAACAGTGGAAAGATATCTATTCTTCTGGATGTTGGGGTAGGGGAAAGGGTCTTGTTCTGATTTTTGAAACCTATTAATGTAGCTTCCTGCTTGTTTTGAAGCTTCCCTAGGCCAACTCAATTTGTGGCTAACCATCTGTCTATTGTGGCCTGCCAGGTGCTTGACAGGCCTTGTGTTTTTGTGGTTCTATGCCTGTTGTCACCAAAAAGAACAGCTTAGGCCTGTCTGAGGGAGGCATAACTATGTTGATTGAATGAGCTACCATGTTTTTGTCCCTGTTATGTATGTTTAGGATGGGGTGCTTGTGTGTGCACTGAGGTATGTTTTTTCTAAATGTTCCTCAATGCTTCCTGTCCATTTATTTTATTCTTGAATGAATGAGAATGGACGTAGTATCTCTCAATTGTTTATTGAATGGGCAGTACATGTATTTCATGGGCTCAGTGCATGGCTGGCTATATATTTCTTAGCTAACTGTTGGAATGTAGTGAGACTATCACATTTTTAATTGATAGAAGCTGTGACATTAAATAAAAAGGTCAGACCAAAAATTCAACAAGAGTAACTTTTCCTGCCATTTAGGGTGGCTAACATTTTTCTGTTTGCATTCCTGTGCCTTAACGATAGTGTGACAAACAGAAATCTCTTTGATGCTGCAAACAGCTTTAACACCTGCATGACAAACAGCAAATCAAGTTTTTCCTTCTAATTGCTAATTCTGCTGCTAATACTGCTGCTAAAGACACAAAAGCCCTAGCAGAAATGAAGATGGTGAACAGCACTATCACTATAACCTCCATGTCAGTGAAGGTTTTACCTGCTAGAATTTTGCCTGTCACGCAGCAGTTAAAACTAAACAGTTGTTCTGTAGTGAGATGACAATGTCTTTTTTTTAAGACTCTATTTATTCAGTTTTTACAATTAGTTCACACCACTTAACATTATTCAATACATATTTCAAAACAAAATATAGTTTCCATCACTATTCTTCAAATAACATAGTTTCATCTATTACATTGCGTTAAATAGTGCTTTACGCTTAAATCTTTCTCATTTCCCTATTCTGGCTAGCCTAGCTCTCATTAAGACTAATCCTCCTTATCCTCAGCCATTTATATATTCCTTCCCACTTTTCCCAGTACTTATTTTCTGGTTTCTGTTTTAATTCCATGTTTACTCTATCCATCTCTGCTATTTCCAAGATCTTATTTTTTAATTCTTTTATTGGGGGTAGTATATTAGTTTTCCATCTTTTTGCAATTAAGATTCTTGCCGCCGTTATGATATAAATGATTATATGATTGTGTTTTTTAATTTCATCTGGAATCATATTCAATAAGAATATCTCTGGCAATAGAGGTAACTTTATTTTCAAATTTTTATTTAATATTCTCTGCAATTTCTTCCAAAAGTCTCGGACCTTATTGCAATTCCACCATATGTGCATAAATGTTCCTATGTTTTTTCTGCCTCTCCAACATCTATTGGAGGCACTTGGGAAGCATTTTGCGATTTTATCTGGTGTCCAATACCATTTATAGTACATTTTATATGTATTTTCTTTAAGAGGTACTGCTCTGGTTAATTTGATCGATTTCCAAACTTTTGTCCAACTACTTTCTTCTATTCTATGACCTAATTCTTTTTCCCATCTAGATTTAGATTCTTTCATTTCGTCGTCCGGTCTTACATCCTTCAAGAGCTTTTTATAGATTTTCTGTATCAATTTATCGCTCGACGAAAGCCAGATCTTATCTAATTCTGTTGGACTGCTATGAAAGCCTATTTTTTTAATCATAATTGTACCTTGTCAGTATTATATTTTTGTCCCACCATGTTAATGCCACATTCTGTTTTGCTAGCATTTCATCCGATTTCAGTTTCATGTAGTGAGATGACAATGTCTGATTCTCTTGCTCCTTAGCTACAGATGGTGCAGTTTCCCAGAAGAAGCTTCATCAAGCCTTGAGGAAACACCCTTCTTATCCACAGGTAGTTCATAGATATATATTCCGAATGTTGTGAGGCTTATATTGATTCTGACTCAAAAAACAGGTGTCTTCTCATCTATAATGGATTCTAGCAATCAAGTTTGGAGGAGAACAATTCAGATGATTGCTAGAATCCATGATATATTAAAAGATTGGAACTTTCACTAGGACATCATCCACCCCACCCTTCTTTTTCTTCTGAACCCATTTCCCTCATTGTTCTACTTGATGTGAGTCATCTACAATGCCATCCTGTGCAGAGCGGTGGCGTAGGGAGGAGCGGTGGCGCAGGGAGTAACAGCACCTGCAGTAACATCTATAGCGAACAGCCATAATGGCTGTTCGAATCCCCACCGCGGCCGGAGTGAGCTACCGGCCCCAGTCCCAGCTCCCGCCAACCCAGCGGCTCGAAAGTAATTGCAAGTAGAGAAATGGGTACCTGCCTTAGAGGCGGGGGGCACCCTCCTCCTGGTTCCGTGCCAGGAGGGTTGACGGCGACAATGGCAGTAAGAGAAGCAGCGGCGGCGAGGAAGAACAATGGCGGCGTCTGGCGGACCGTAGGAGCGACGACGACATCGGATCGAGGCGGGACCGGATGACGCAACTGCGGAGCGACGCGGCGCAGCTGGAGCCCGAAGGTACGAGTAGCCGGGAACGCCGCAGTCCAGGAGCAGTGCGCATCAACGGAGGGTCCATCTGCAGCCCGCTGATGGTCACCCCTCGCCGCAATGCCGAGACTACGCCGGAGCCACCGAGAACGGAGAGAAGCCTGTCGTCCGGGTGCTGTTAGGCAACCCCTCCCTGCACAATTGTCGCCCTAGGTAGGATCTGACTACAATAATGTAGGCCACCTGTAAACCGCTCTGAGACCCAGTAGGGGTCATGAGCGGTATAGAAGTCAAATGTAAATAAATAAAAATAAATAAATAAAGAATTACATTTTTCCAAGACCATTGACCTCAATGTACATAGAAGGGTATAACTCTGTGATAGCACTGTTAATATATGAATTACTATCAAACTAGGATGTGAGAGGAAAATGGAAATATCTTGATGATCATATAGAGTTCTTCTGAAGACTTGTTTAAGGAATGCTGCTGGCACATTTGGAATGAATGTTACATTTGTAGTGTAAGGGATGGAAGATGATAAACTACAGGCCTGTTTTGCTAGGAGGGCCTTAAAAAAACTTAAGTTGCTCCAGATCACAGGAAACAGCCGTTGTAGTTTGACAAATGTGTCGAATACCAGCAACATCTCCAGAGTTGGCTTCAGCCATCTGGCACAGGATGGATTGTTTTCCGTATCTGATCCTAAAGTCCCCAGAAGTCACTGTTCTGAGACTTTGGGGGATTGGGGAAAAACTGGTTTTAGCAGAAAGGATTCGCCCCCTTTCGTGTTGGTTTCAAGCAGATACTCCCCAGTAGCATAGAAAGGGTTAAAGAAGAAAGTCCAGTACAGCTCCTTTGTCAGAAGTTGCCAAGAAAGGCAATCTTCGTCCTAAAACCTTTGTCTCCTTGCATCCACATTCCAGAAGGGAAAGTTAAAAATCTATACTGTAGACTGGGCATCACTGGGCTAGGCAACACAAAACCAGGGAAACACTGAGAGGACAATCCAGCTCTGGGATTACACATATAATCTCACTTGCTCACATGCATGATTCTCTGGGGGACCAGGAGCACTCAAGGGAGGAAGGGAGAAGGAAAAGAACTCCTCATGGTGGTGGCTACTGGAAGACTGGGTCCCAAACCATGGGCTTGGGGGAAAAGTGTTTTCCTATAGTTTGGGGCTCAAGGAGAACACAGAACCAGTCCCTTTTAGTTTGCTTGAAGGTGGCAGGAGCAGGGAGGCTGAGGGGAACAGTTGTCACCAACTTATCACTAGATCTTACATAAAAGCATAAGGGCCAAAAAGAGTAAAGCTCATTCAGGGTTATTCTTCTTCTGCCTTATTTGCCTGCCAGGGCATCCTAAATTGTAATGTCTACTATTGCTCTGTTCTTTTGTTCTCTTTCTTCTCGGCAGGTTGTTGGAGAGTTCATCAGTGGTTTGGAATCCCATATAGAAAACAGAGATCAGTTCAGGAATTGCCTTCTTCCTTGTGTACCTGCACAGAGTCCAGAAATGAGGTTAATAAAAACGTGTCCTTGTTTTCTCCCTGAAAATGTTGATCTGTTCAGCAATTATGAAGCAAACATTCAAGGAAACGAGCTACAATGTAGGAAATGGCCCTTTGTAAGCATTCCAGACAGTTTCTGGATTGGAATTGGAGAGCTTTGTCAGCTGAATCACTTTTTAGAGGTTTGTCCCTATGCTCAAGTGCGGTGGCTCAAGTGGTTAAGACGCTGAACTGCAGGCTGTGGAAGGTCAGTAGGTCAGCAGTTCGAGACCCGGGGGCCGCATGATGGAGTGAGCTCCCATCTCTAGTTCCAGCTCCTGCCAACCTAGCAATTCAAAAGCAAGAAATTGCAAGTAGATAAATAGGGACCACTTCGATGGGAAGGTAACAGCGTTCCGTGCGCCTTGGTGTTTAGTCATGCCGGCCATATGACCACGGAAATGTCTTCGGACAGCGCTGGCTCTTGGCTTTGAAACGGAGATGAGCACCGCAACCCTAGAGTCAGACTCGACTGGCATTCGAGCAAGGAAGCCTTTACCTTTACCTTTTACCCTATGCATTAGTAATTTTATTTATTTAAAATATTAATATCCTGACTTCTTAGACTCAAGGTGGCTAACAAAGCAAGAACCAAATTGCAAATTCATAAAACACAATTGGTGAGATACAAACAACACACATTTGTTCAAATTCTTTCTCTATGGAACCGATGGCAACATAGACAAGGCTGTCCCAATGTAGACTGTGTTGGCTTAAAGCCAGCCATGACCATTTATCTGGTTTGTACAGCCTTAGATTATGCAGCAAAAAAAAATAGTCTACCTAAAATGGTGGTTAAAAAAATAACAGTAACAGCAAATTGTTTTTCTTAATTACAGTAATGCAGTTCATTCATATTGTGAAAGTCTCATTAAACTACTCCTTGGAATTGAGATATTGCAGGTAAGGTCACTTTACAATGCACTGATTCCAACCGCATTGGCAGTCTGTGTTGACAACTGTGAAGACAGCCAGCAGCTAGATAGACATGAGTGGTTGAAGCAAGGGTCCACAGATCTTAACTTGCTGGTCAATATTTATTTGTCACCTCAGACCCTTTCTCCATCCGTTGGGGGAAGAGTGGGATTTTGTCTGTGGTTGCCAGGTCTCCTGCTCATATATTTCTGTAGTGGGAGACTTCCCATTGTTGCTCTCTGGTGCCTAGAAGGCTAAGGGGGAGAAAAATGGCGGCAAATGGAGGGTGCTCCAGCACCACACTGTCATATGACATCACTTCCAGTGAAGTGACATCATGACATCAGAGATGCTCTAGGATTTCTAAAAACTCTATTGTTTAAGCAATAGAGCCCCCTCATCCAGTGAAAACTGGAAGTGATGTCAGGGGCTGATGTGATACTGGGGTGCCTGTCCCCACCATCCAAATATTCCCAGGGATTCTAAGCTGCTGTCTAGCAACCCTATACCTCACTACGCTTTGGAGGAGCACAGATCACTCTTGCTACTTTTGTTTCTCCAGGTCTAGTCTGAAGCAAGCTACTTATTTCTTTTTCCCCCTGAGACCTCTGTCTGTTCTTGAGTCTGGCTCAGTGAAAGACACAGGTGTCCTCCAAATGCTGTGTAATTTTTAGAGAAGTGAGGCTCGTCATGCTAGCTATTCATACTTTTCAGGGTTGTTGCCACTGATGACCAAGCAACTGGAATTGTGGTTTTCTGGATTGAAGTAAATATGGAAATGGAAAAGTCGTGAAATGTCTTGGGCTTTATGCTTATGCTTGTTTTAATGCACCTGTGATTAATGCCTGCTATGCATGCTGGGGCTGTGTACAATAATCCTTTGTATTCCCATCTGTGCATCTTTTTAAAAATGCTTTTGTCTCTTTTTTTTCAAAGCCTGCTGTTATAAGACTTTTGTTTGAGAAACTCCCTGAATTTTTTCATGAAAGGTGAGTAGTTCAGTGCTTTGACTTGAAGCATTGGTTACTATGTGTTTTCTAGTTATTTCTTCCTAAGTACTTTTTGAAATTCCAAAAACTGACTCTAATGAGCACAGAGAAAAGAAAAAAAACAGCTGGATAATATAGTTTCTTCCAGGTCCTTCCTTACATGAGTGTCAGTGCTCAAGAGTTTGCTATGTGCTCTTGCCTGCTGTAAGTGAGTCTTAAAGGAAAAATCAGTATATCTAAATCTTAACATGGGCCCATCTGCAGGTACTTAAATTAGTGGATGAGGGCCACATAGACACAAAAGAGATTTTTAGGGGGAGACCCAGGTTTGCAGGAAACAAATCCTAAAAATAAAAAGAGGGGTTTACAAAAAAAACACACCAAACCAAGAACAGTTGGCTGTACAAGTGCATACAACTGTTCTTCAGAGATGGGGTGCATGAGGAGAAGGAAGGCAGGGGAGAATGAATGGAAGCCCTCCCCTTTCCTTAACCACCGAGGTGGCAAAATTAAAAGTGAGGGAGGCATGGGACCCACCAGCCCTCCCTGCTGCTAAAGCAGCACTGCTTCCCCCCCCCCCACTGAGGCACCAAAACAGGAGATGGGCAGGAAGCACAGGACCCCTGAGCTGTCTCTGCTAATGCGGTGGCAACACTCCTGCCAAGGCAGTGATGCTGGAGCCAGGTGAGGGAGGGCAGCACTGGCTAGGCACAGGGAGCAGCCTGAGCTGCCGTGGGAGCACCACAGTAGCTGGATGGAAAAGAGATGGGGGGAGTGCCAGAGAAGGGGTGGGAGAGAGAAAGGAAAGGCAGGGGAAATGACGTGCCCCTCCCTGAAAGTTCCTTGCAGGTCCTCTCTTGTAGAGATTCTATTCTGCTGTTAGTAATCAGTCTGTAATTATTGTGAAACATAATGTTAGGGGGTGCCTTCTCTTGGCCCTCCTGAATAAACTGATTATCTGTTGGAAATGAGGATGCCATGCCAAAAGAAAATGTTAATGAAATCGGGTGTTGGCACATGTGTGGAGAGAAATGAGCAGACTTCTATATAATTGGGCTTCAGAAAGAAGTCTTTTTTGGTAGAAAACAGGGACTATGGTTGTACCAGATCTATTTTTTCTTCTTTTGTTCTGATCTTTCAGTGTGGGCAGTGATGGACTCAATTTGCCCCAGCTCATTATCAATCAGTTGAAATGGCTTGACGGGATAGTTGATAGCAAGGTAAGCACTACCAAACCTATCAAATGCCATCTGATATTATGTTGAACATCTAGAGCACTCTAGTCTTTGATTGTTATGAATGCTTTTGTATTGTGGGATTTATAAATGTTTTTAAAGTTGTTTTATATTGGCGTTTGCCACTTGTAAGCTGCCCTGAGCCCGCATTGCGGGGAGGGCGGGGTATAAATTGAATTAAATAAATAAATAAATAAATATTTCTCTGCTTCCTGCTAGTTGACATTTAGCTAGCATTAGCCAATATGCTAGATAGCTGCTAGTTGCTGCAGCATATAATAAGTGGTGATTCTTCTCCTTACACAGACAAGTTAACATATATGTTAAGTCAGCGGCATCACTTTTATGTTGAGTTTTGGATGTAATGCTTAATCTTGTCCATAAAATAAAATACAATGCACTTGTAGCATCCTAAGCCATGCAAATGAATTTATTCTGTCAGGAAGAATCTGGCTTTGCTGTGAGGACACCTGTCATGCTCTCACATGTTTCAGCCAGGGTCCTGCATATAGCCTGTTGGTGCAGCCATGGAGTCTTGCTTTCTCATCTAGCCATCCCTGAATTCCAGAAGTCCACTCACAGAACAGATCTCCCCATCACCAGCTGCTCCTCTGTATCGAGGAGCTCTCAGGAACAGCATGGGGTGCAGTTTGGGGAGATGCAACTGGAGGAGAGAGAGATCACAGCCCCCTCTTGGTGACAAGCTGTGTCTTGTGCATGATTGTGTAGGAGAGTTGGATCCAATGCAGTATGCTTACAATAAATAACTGGCTTATATTCTGTTTACCATTGTGCAGCCTCTTGGCTTCGCTGTGGACAGTGCGTTTTAGCTATTGGTATGAAGGACACCTTCTTTTCCTTTACTCCAGTTCAGCTCCCAGTGTTCTAATGTATCTGTCACCTACAGGATCTTGTCTTGACAATCATGCAGATTATATGTGTTTCTCCTCTGTCAATCCAACATGATATTATCACAAGCTTGCCAGAAATCCTGGAAGATTCTCAGCATGGTGAAGTTGCCAGAGAGCTTAGGTGAGGTTTACACGGATGTTTTTTGTCTTCCTGTCCCCTTATGATTTTGTATTAGCTGGCGGTGTTGCCCTAGCCGAAGATACCCTCTGCCACAGCTAGTGATACAGTGAATACAGCATTCAGTTTTGTGGTTTGCTTATACTATATAGTATGGGTAGCTGCTTTTGTTTAAAATAACTGTTTCTCTATTTAAATTTAAGCGTGTTGTTCCCTAGCAGTCAACAGACTGCAGCCATACTTCTGAGAGTCTGAAGAGCTGTGGTCTGGAAAGGCTGTCTATGGATTCAGAGAAGCCTCTGTACACAGTATTTTTTTCTTCTCTGGTGTACAAGAAAAAAAACCCCTCTAGTTGTGACTATGTAATCTTCGGGGGGGGGGGGTTGCCACTGGCTTCATAGCATAGGCTTGCCTTGATGCATGTACTGCTTATGTTTGCTGGTCAAGCTCAAAAGTGCAAGATTTTAGCCTTGGGCTCATCATGAATTTGAATGGAGTAAATGTCTTATAGGCAAAATAGCCTAGCAGTTAAGAACATGAGCTCTGAGTCTTCAGTTTACCTGCGAACACATGAGAAATCCTTATGCAATCTTCTAATTCATCCTTCTCCCCTCAATTTTTAAAAACTTATTAAAGTATTTTTATTTGCCTTCTGTCCTGTTATATGCAATGTGTCTTACAGGAATCATAACAGTAGATAGCAATCGAATTCAAACATAAGTTAGCTTAAGTAAGCTGAATTGATCCAAAATTTAAAAGACCTGTCACCTGGGTCTCTGTAGAGCACCATGTACATTGATGGTAAATAATAAGCCTAACAAAAGACTCCTGACTTGTGTAGCTGGGCTGCCTGCTTGTGTAGCTATTGTCTGGGGTGTTCAGTTCTTGCATGCTGTGAGGCAAAGCTCCCCTAGCCTCCCCTCAAGGGTTAATGTGAATAGTAACGGCCCTAGTTCTTTCTGCAGGTACTAAATTGGTTCCTTGGCCTATACAGCTCTTTTCATCTTCAAGGCCAGGGATAAAGGTGGCATGATTAGCTTCTCATGAGAACCTGCTGCCTGTAGGATGGGGGAGGAGACCCAGTGGTGATGAGGTAACTTAGAGGCTCCTCCAGAGAATGTGTTCTGATTGGATGTCATCCTCACCTGATGTTGCTGCAGGCTTACCAAATACTTACTGTGATTCAGCGGGGGACACATACCTCTTCCCAGGACCATTCCCACGCGGACAACAGACGCACCACACCATGCTGTCGCCAGGAAGTGACGCCGGGCGACGCTCTGGGAATGAGGCTGGAAACTCGATGGTACCATCGAGTTTTCAGCCCCATTGTCAGAGCGTCACCCAGCGTCACTTCCTGGCAACGGCATGGTGCGTTACAGGGAGGAATGTTCCAGCCGGGGATCATGTGTCCCCCGCCGAATAGCGGTAGTACTTGGGAACCCTATGTTGCTGGGCCAAAAACTATAATTTGGCTAAGGCCTAGAAGAAGAGAGGCTAGCTGAGACCCTGATGAACTAAAGGCCTGAATTATGACCTGCTTGAATTGCAATTGCTAGCAACATAGAGAACGCATGAGCTTTGGTCTTGATTTTGAAACTTAAGGTTTGTGTTATCTAATGCAATTCCTAAGAGTTTGCTTACTAGTTGAGCTAGTTTCTTTATTTTCTTGCTGCATGGTTTTAGAGTAATGAGTCAGCTGCTTAATGAAGTTTTCTGATGTATTAAATTTGAAATAAACTTAATAAATCCTTTAAAAATACTTGTGTGCAACGGCCCTGGGGACCCACGGGGTTCAGGTTTGAGCTCCTTGACACGTGCAGACTCTTCTCAGTAGGTCGTTGTAGGGACTGTAATACTGAAGTTGGCTCTGTTTTCGAAAAGAATATCTAACTCCAAAATGGGATCTATTCTCATTTGATAAACTTTTCTGAACCTTTTGAATTTTGTTGCCATCTGTGTTCTGAAGGGCCATCTTCAAGTGTGTATGTCTCCTCTTGCATTAGGCATTACTGAAATAATATTGAGTGAGCTGCTTTCCTCTGGAGATGTTGCTTGTAATTTTTATCACTATTCTTTCCAGTAACAACTGACAACCCGTAATTCATTTGGGAGACAGAGTCGCTCATAACCTGAAAGCCAGTGTGGTGTAGTGGTTGGAGTGTTTAACTAGCATCTGGGAGACCCAGGTTCAAATCCCCATTCTGCCAGCGCAGCTGTCTGGGTGACCTTGGGCATGGCTCACACTCTCAGCCTAATCTACCTCACATAGTTATGAGGATAAAATGGAGAAGAACAGTGTAAGCTGTTTTGGTTCCTGTCACGGCTCAGGTGGGGTGTCACCTGATGCTGCCACCACTCTGGTTCCAGGCTCCTCTGAGAAGGTCCAGAGCACCCTCCCAAGTCCTTCAGACCTCCCTTTTGGCAGAATAATAGGCGTGAGGACCAGGCAGAGTGAACAATGAAAATAATTGTATTTTATAGGAGGTCAAACAAACAAGGTGTAGAATAATAACAGTAAGTGGGTGAAAAGAAAAGAAATCAAATGCCCTAACGCGTCTAAATATATACTGTCCCAAGCTCACTATCTTAAGTGGCCTTAGACTACTCACCCTTCCCTCAGGATGAGGGTCTCTTCCCCACAGCAACCTTCCTTCTGGCTCTGCCCTCTGGGAAGAAGAACAAGCTTTCCCTGTTGTACCAGTTCTCTTATCCCCAGTCCTTCCCTATTGGTCAAAATCAGCACCAAAACTTCCCAAGTCCTTCTGGGATTAGTAGGCCCATCCTCCTCCTACTGCTAGCCAGGCTCCCTGGGCCTAGTAGGCCTCTGGTGGCACAGCCCAGATCATGACAGGTCCCCATTGGGAAGAACTGCAGGGTATAAATGAAGTAAATCAATAACTTTGTTTTATAGCATTTGCAGAAACGTTTTCTGGGGAAATCAACTTTAAACCTTCATATACTGCTAGATAATGATGCAAATGGATTCTGAATGAAATCGAGTTAAATAAAGAGTTTTAGAATGTCACTAGGATCTTAAAGCTTCTTTATTTGTTCTGTGTTTTAGTTCATTGTTAAAGGAGAAAACTGAGCTAACTGTTCCAATTCTGGATGCTCTTTCCAGTTTGAATCTTGATGTGGAGCTTCTCTCTGAGGTAGGGAGTCCTGTGATGAATGCAGGGGTTCACATGCAAAGTATAAGTTCCAAATAAAGTCTTGGTGCAAAATTATTTGCACAAAATTATGCACAAGCGTTAAAAGGATGCACAAGAAGGTCAGAAAAGACTGGATTGGTTGGCTAGAAATAGGACATTTTTGGGTCATCTTCATTGATTGTCTCAGCATGTACAGATGGAATGATAATCTTGGTCATTCTCCCACAGCAGTGAAATCTTTTCCCTGGAAGATTTTCCTGAGTTGGTCCCTGAGTACTTTTGGAAAATGCTAGGCATTGGATGGTTTTAAGATATGAGATTCTAAAAGCTTTGAGATTTTAGCATATAGTGCCTTGTATCTAACTGTGCAAAGACTTAAGAGCATAAGTTTTCTTAGGAGGGGCATATGCCCCTCCTACAATGTTAACTGTAGTCTACTGAACCTCTGAAACTTTTTTGGGGGGGTCATTAGACCATCAGGAATAGCAAGGGTGCAAAATAGGGATCTACAAGAGGCAGGACCCGCGATACTCGCAAGGGCGGGGAAGTATTCCCCACAGCTCCCGGCCTGCAGATGCAGGAGACGCGACAGCAGGTGAGCCCAGCCTTCTCCCTCCCCCTCTCCCTCCCCAGCGGCATACGCAGGGAATGCTCCTTTACTTTTGGGGGGATTTAAGTATCCCCCCTATAGTTTTTTATAGTTTTTAGATTTTTCTGTACATCTGGGGATTGCCCCAAATGTGCAGGAAAATCTCCCTGCCTCCCGGGTGCCCCCGATGTGCGGATTTAGATATCCGCACACAGGGGGCGCCTTGGCTATTAGATATATAGATAGCAGGAGGAGGGAATCGGCATAGTTCCCATAATTCTTCACAACTGCATGGCTGGATACAGGCCATTGGTTTTTAGCCACATTATGTCTTCATGTATGTACATTTTCAAATAAAGTCTACCCGTAGTCTTTGGGGACAGGGCAATCAAGAAGTGCAAATAAATAAATGCAAGTGGAAAATCTGCTGTTCTCTTCCTAGGTACGTCGGTCTGTCATGGTCACAGTGGCTGCTGTTAAAGTGGAAGATTTGCCAGTAGTCGTCAAATTTATTCTCCATTCCATCAAGACCACTGATGCAGTGGAGGTACATTCCAACCCCTTTTCTCTTTTGCCACTTGGGTTTCTGTCAGCTATTAAAACCTTGAGAAGAAACATATGCTTGTGGCCATGATCACCATTCATTCTGTCTTGGAATATTACGAGGGGGTGTTGAAAAGGAAACTATGGAGAAGAAGGATGACAGTAGGTGGGTTCTGAACTGCTCCTGAGCAAACTGAGATTCCTGCATTCAAAATAACAATATCAGCAATTAATGGACTATAGTTTAGAATCCCAGCTTAACATCCCCCTGAAATAACCTCCCCCTCTTCTTTTTCTATTGTACATTCACTTATCCTTGCAGTAAAGATCATAAGATTTTTTAAAAATTTTGTAGAAACAATCATAATTACCAGAGTGTGTATATTTATTTATAATTTGAATTTATAAACAGCCCTCCCGAGTACACAGGGCTCAGGGTGGTGGACAGCAAGAGTAAAAACATTCATAAATAGTAAAACAATGTAAATGATACATAAATAATAACAGTAATAAATATGCAATGCTGTCAGTGATTAAAATGACTGAAACCTGTCTTGTGGTATTCTCTGAAGCCTTTCTTTCACATCATGGCAGTTTGTCTCCTCCTCTGTCTTTTATTATCATCCTCTTGAAATGTGTGATCTGTAATATTTGAGTGTATTTGTGGGTCATGGCCACAAAAACTTGTGCATTGCTGTCCCACAGGTAATTTCTGATCTTCGTAAGAAGCTGGACCTGGAGTCTTGTATTTCACTCCCACGGATTCAGGCTTCTCAGAGCAAGCTCAAGAGGTACCAATGTGGTATTTGCCTCAATCATTGTTCAGCCCATCTCCACCCTAAAAGTTGCTGTGCCATTAGATAAGTACTGAGGAGGAGCTAAATAAATTATAAAATGAAAAAGGAATGTTGTATTACTATAATGTTGTACTTTTAGGACACTAATGGTGTTGCAGGCAGATATTTAGGCTTCTCATAAGGTTGGAACACCTTTCCTGTGAGGAAAGGCTGGAGAATCTAGGATTTTTTTCAGTGGGAGGGGGGAATCATGTATGGAATGGAGAAAGTGGATAGAACGTTTTCTGCCTCTTCCATTATACTAGAACTCACCCAATGAAATAGGGTGGGGAAATAGGTTCAGGACAGACAAAAGGAAACACTTCTTTACTCAATAAGTAATTGGAAATTAACTGCCAAGGGCATAATGATGGCCATGAACATTATTTATAAAGGTATTAGATTCGTGGAGGAAGGGTCCATCAGTAGCACTAGCCATGATGACTAAAGGGAACCTCTGTAGTCAGGCAGCAAATTTAACATGGATATTAAGCAGGAACAGGAATATCTCCTTGGTGCTCATAGTTTTCCTCTCGACCTTTCTGGCCTTGGACTTTCCTGAAATGGTGGGGCTGTGACTTCCTGAGGTTGCCCCAAAAAGGGCCCTCCCAGCCACTCGGGAAGCTGCCAATGGAGGTGGGGCCAGCACGGCTGCAATCAAGGCTGCCCCAACAGAAGCCACCCTGGCCAAAGCCCTCCCAGCCGCCACCAGGAGAGCATCCACCACCACAGAGAAATGGCAGCCCACTTCACGGGGACCCGTGGAGCCTGCCCCTGACTACCACAAGGGATACAGGGTAGGACTCCCGAGGCCCTGAAGCAGGAGACTTCCCATGGCCGAGCGAAGGAATGCGGGGAAAGGGGAAGGGAGAATAGAGTTCTTACCTTTGGCAGGAACAGGAATGCTGGGGAAGGAGGAAGACACCAAGCACAGCCACACCTACTCACACCAGGAAAGACAGGCGGGCGCAAGAGTCTAGGGGGAGGAGCTAGGGAAGAGGGTTTAAAAGGATGGTTCGGGAAAGCCAATGAAGGAGAGGAGAAGAGGAGACAGACAAGAGAATCCACAACACAATCACGAGAAAGGGGAAGGGGGGAGGCGCAAACAGATGGGGGAGGATAAAAAGGGGCAAGCAGCTGAGGTCGAGGAGGATTGCCTCGTCAGAAGTCCACGCTAGGGAGAAGAGTGGCTGTGACCAGGAGTAGGCTAAAAAGGGGGAAACAACCCCAAGCTCTCCCAATTCTGAGACCTCAGTGTCCCCTGGACAACGGCAGAGAAGGGCAGGGCCAGGAGTAAGCAGGATGGAGCTCACACAACCAAAGCCACTTCTCCTTTTGTTTTGTTTTGCTTTTTGGTATCTTTAGTCTCTGGTACCTTTGGCTGTGGTGGTACGCAAAACTATCACCTTCTGTCCATGACTCATCTTGGGATCAGAATCAGATAAACTATGCTATTTTTATGATCAATTGTCAAATAGTTTAGTTGATTCCCCCACCCCCCAGCCTTTATTGAGCTTGATCTAACTTGGCCTTCCTTCCCTTCCTTTTCCCCACTAAACCTTGCAATGATGTGTCTGCAGCTGGAGTGGTGGCCGACAAGAGCGTGGGCGGGGGGAGGGAAGAGTCTGTCTTCCTCTCAGTGCTTGAGAGTGCATTGTAAACTGCTGTACCCTATGCTACCTTAAACATACAATAACTTAGTTTTTGCTGGGAGGTAGAAAGGATAAAAATTGAAGGTAGAAAACAAATTCTGTAGTAAACAAAAGAAAATGTATTGGGACTGAAACACTCATATGGTCAAATATGCAGGATTACCAGCATATCTGGATATCAGTTTAAACTTTATAACACTGAAAATACTGAACTGTTTTTTTTTCATTAAACACTTTAAAGCATATTAATTGCTGCCAAAATTCACATTTAAATATATTCTTTGAAAGAAGTTGTGTATGTCTACAGTAAATGTAGGAATTATGATTACCGAACACTGTAGATTGTCATATAGTAATTTTCATAGTATGTATTTTCTGTAACTGCATTAAAATATTTCACTCATTCTAAAAGGGTGGGAAATCATAAGAGGTGATTCTTTCAGTGCTTTCAAAAATTTCCTAATTTTTTTCTACTGGACAAATTGGAAACAATTCTTCAGACTTTTGCATGTTCTACATTTTGAGTGAGAGAACCCTTCTAAGAAGCATTTCACTCATTCCAAAAGAGAAAATAGTTCACAGGATTTGTGGGTGTTTTTTCCCCCAGTGCCCCCCCAAATTTCCAATTCTCCCACAGGCTTCCACATCCATAGCTTATCTCCTCAGAGTAGCTTTACTTTTCCCTGGCATCAGTATCACCGCCTTCATTTTAGCAGGATCCTACTTCATTACTTGTTAGTGCTACATAAGAACATAAGAGACGCCAATGTTGGATCAGGCCAAAGGCCCACCTAGTCCAACACTCTGTCACACAGTGGCCAAAAATACCAGCTGCCATCAGGAGGTCCCCCAGTGGGGCCAGGACATTAGAATCCCTCCCCCTGTTGGCCCCCCCCCCAAGCACCAAGAAGACAGAGCATCACTTGCCCCAGAGCCCCTATCTATACCTTGTGGCGAATAGCCACTGATGGACCTCTGCTCCAGATGCCTATCTAATTCCCTTTTGAAGCCTTCCATGCTTGTAGCCGCCACCACCTCCTGTGGCAGTGAATTCCATGTGTGAATCACTCTTTGGGTGAAGAAGTACTTCCTTTTATCTGTTCTAACCCGACCGCTCAGCAATTTCATGGAGTGCCCACGAGTTCTTGTATTGTGAGAAAGGGAGAAAAGTACCTCTTTCTCGACCTGCTCTTTTCCATGCATAATCTTGTAAACCTCAATCATGTCACCCCTCAGTCTACTCTGCCTGCCAATGCATCCTTTTGTAGGTGATAATTTAGCCACCAAACTTAATGTTGGAACAACTGTTGTTTAGAGCTGCTTATATTGTTCAGATGCTGGAGTAATCCCTCCTATTCTTTCCCTGCTTTTTTCAGTCTCTCTGCAAACCAAATGAACATCAGTCAGGACAGTGTTAAGCTCCTTTTTGAGGTCATAAAATCAGCTGTTAAATTCCAGAAGACTGTTTTGGAAGCCTGGGTTAAGGTCAGACTGATCCTTCCATCTGGCTTTGCTCTCTCATCTCTTGCCCTTTCTTTCAAATACAGTTTTGTACAGCTGTATTATACTTTAGACTTCATTCAAGAATTCTGTTACAACTCTGTTTTCTTCCTAAAAATGAAATAGTGTCGAAAATTGTTTTTTATTATTATTGAAGACTAGCTCTGTTGTTGAATACAAAGCATATGTATGCTCTGGAAAAATTTCTGTTTAGGAAAAAAATATGCTGTGGACACATCAGAGGAAGAAAGCAGAGCCATAGACTTCAAAGAACATCTGGGGTAAAGATGTGTTAGTACTCTGATGTCTTGCTAACCAGTCTGGTAGGCACATTCTACTGCAGAGGGGCAGCCTTGAATCAGGACAACCACAGTGCCATGCTCCTTATTCAGTGTTGTACATGACAGGTATTATAGCCCCATTGCTCTCTGAAGTCTTTCTGGCCTCCTTGTTGCCATTGTGGCGTCTTAAGGAGGCTCCTTAATGCCTAAGTTCTTGCAACTTGAGAAGAATTGAGCTGGATGGACTGCTAGGAAGTACCTCCTTGCAGTACAGTAGTAGCCAAAAGGGGATTGTAACATGGTATAGCTAGAGAGAGAAGATAGGAAGTGCTGCTGCAAAACCTGTAGGCCAGAATAGATGCCTTAAATGGAGTGAAGGTTTTCCACCCATCTTTTTCATGGATCTCCTGACTTGGCTCCTGGTTGATCGTCTGAATTCGAGCAGGAAGATCTTCTTTGAGTCAATAATTTGCAGATCTTTTACGCTCTTGAAGGTGAGGTTCCCTAATCAGGTTTCAGAGCATTTCTGACTCACAGAAAAGAGGGGCCTAAATACATTTTCCTCCCTACTCCCTGCACACTCCGTGCTGTCACCACAACTGTTACCCAAAGGTAGTGACATCTGTGGTAGAATGGTTCGTATTCTGATAGGTTTTTAATATCCTATCTATGCCAGAATTCTAGACTGGACTGTCATCTTAGCATGAGCAGGTGTGCCATTTCAGAGATGTGTGATGTACACACGTGTATGTAGATTGCTTATATGTATGTGTATATAATATCACAACAGTCATTTGCATTCCCTCTTCTAGGCTATTGAGAATGTAGCTTCTGACTCTGAGCATAAGGTAATACATATCTCATATTGATTTTGCAGTAACTATGTTCCATGTAGAATTCTTTTTAGGCATGTTAATGGGAGGGGTGGGTAGCACTGATTTCCTTCATGGCACCCTCTTTGAAAACTTCACTATGGCAGCTTGAATAAGTAAGGAATTGCTACACGGAGCAAGAGGTTGTGTCTAAGTGTTATTCATCTGCTTTCCCTATGTTTCAGGTAGATAATCCTGCAACACATTTCTTTCTCTTTGTCTTAGAGAGAATAAAATCTACACTCTGTCAATAATCCATTAAGACAAATAAGCATCAAATAAGTCTACACATATTTGCATACTATGAAGAAACTGCCTCGTAACAAAATGTCTAAGACAAAATTCTTGGCCACAGAGCAGCAGGCATTCTCTGACATTAGTTCCCTGCACAAGACAGAAAGACAGAAACCTGCCCTTCCACTATTGCTATCACTCCAAATTACATTGAACAAAGGGATTTACTTGATGGAAAGACTGCACAAGGACAACAATAGGTTCTGTGCAAACTACCACAGATTCTGTGTTTGCGAGTGCGTTCATTTATCGTTTTAAATTGCTTGCCTGATCCTACTTGCTTGGTGTTCACGTTTGTATAATCAGCATCATTGTTTCACTTGCAAAAAGGTTCTGGATTTGATAGTGCTGTTGATAATCTGTGCGACAAATGTGAAGAACCAGAAGCAAATTGAAAGAGTCCTGAGGAACAAGATTCGGTCAGGCTGTATGCAAGAGCAATTGCTGCAGAATGCCTTCAGGCATCACTCACAGGTGAGCTCACTCAAATTCCATCTTGTTGCTTCATCTCGAGTCTGTCACCAACGCCACTCTAGGTATCTAAGCCCCCTTTTTTCCATCCTTAGTTCATCCATATACCATGGATCCAAGGTAATACTAGGGTGAAGAGGGTGCCAGGGGCAACTTGGCCAATAGTTTCCTGAAGACCTAGATTCCAGGCTTCAGAGAACTCCATTGAGAGAGCTGCCAGCAAAGCCAGACAAATCCTGCAGAGCATTCTGGAATCCAACTGGATTCATGAGTCTCTGTGGGCAAGCATAAATAAGTTCGCTGCCCCTGTAGAGGGAGGAAGCAAATCTCAAACTGACCTTCACAAGGTAATGATCAGTCCATGGCACCAGTTTGCAAAGCACTGCTGAATCCAGATCAATTCCAGCACAAAAAACCAGATCCAGCGTGTGGCCTGCTCTGTGTGTGGCGGCCAATACAACCTGGGAGAGTCCTAGCGATGCCATGGCAGTCATAAAGTCCAAGGAGGCACCAGACAAAGCAGAGTCAGTGTGGACATTGAAGTCCCCCAAAACTATCAGTTTGGGGAAACGCAAGGCCCATTCCGCCACCATCTCAGCCAATCTCAGCTGGGAGTCAGGGTTTTTTTTTTCACCACCCAGGAGTTACAGGAGCAGCACTTCCTTTTAATAAGCACTATTGAATTCTGCATCCTTAATTCTGGGAAAGCCTAGCTGCAATTCCTCATTTATTGTCCCTCATAATTTTGGAAATGTAATTGTTTCTGCTTCTGCAAATCCCAATCAAGGACTTGGGTATTTTCTTCACTCCCTTTTCTGAGATGTTGCATTACTTCCAATAATCAGTGGTGATATTATCTCGGCAATAAGCTAAAGAACACCCTATCTTGGAGTTCGGTGAAAACTTGGGGAAGGAAGTATTATTTATTTATTTTATTGGATTTATGAATTGCCCACCCTGCAAGCAGGCTTTGGGTGATTTACAACCTTAAAACATTTAAAATACAATGGATATATAATTAAAATTATCACAGTAAAACAATAAATTATAAATTAAATCCAATCCAAGATGGCATAATAGTCCTCCTTTGCCAGCCACACTGCTGTTTTGCAGGGCAGGGCAGGGCAGGGTACGTGGGGGCCATAGAAGAAAAAGAAAGGCTGCCAGTCCTAACCTCTTGTTGCTGCCCTCAACTAAAAGCCTGGCGGAACATCTGTGCCTTACAGGCCCTGTGGAATTGCATCAAATCCTGCAGGAGCCTGATGTTATTTGACAGAGAGTTCCACCAGGTCGGGGCCAGGCCCTAGTCGAGGACGGCCAGACCTCCTTAGGGCTGGCAATCACCAGTAAGTTGTTATCAGCCGATCTTAGTATTCTTCTGGGGACATATTGGAGGAGATGGTCCCAAAGGTAGAATTGTTTGTGCAATTCCTTTTCGATTGGCTTATATTTTCAGGTAATGAGAGACCTCTTTCCAGCCATCCTATCAGTGGCTGAGATCTTTCTGCACGCAGTGGATCCCTGTGTTGTCTCTTTTGGCAGCTGCATGTACAAACAAGCATATGCAACCTTTGACTCATATTGCCAGCAGGTACAGTAACATGGCAAATTCTTTCTCTGCTGTAGAAAATGTATTTTTCTTCTAAATGTATTTTTTTTCTAGACAGAAAAGCACATATATATATATATATGCTTTTCTGTCTAGGAACTTAAGACAGTGTACATCTTTCTCTCTTCCATTTTCATCCTCACAATTCTGTGAAGTAGTTTATAAGTTGAGAGAGGATAACTGGCCCAAGGTCATCCAGGGAGCTTCATGGCAGAGTGGACATCTGATCCTGGGTTCTCCAAATCCTGGGTTCTCCAAATCCTCCAACCACTACAACATGCAGGGTCTCTGAATATAATGCTGAGTATATTATTGTGGGGTATGTGAGATAGGAGGGAGCAGGGAAGAGATAATCTTAAAACACAAACCCTTGGATCCCAAAGTTATTTTCTCTGCATGCACTCTATTCCATGTTCTCTCTTGGGAAGGCATGGTTGTGGTTTAAAGGACCAAGAAAAAGACCAGTTTAAGGTTTTTCCATTTTATAATCCTATAATTCCTAACAATAGAAGTATATTGGGTTTGCAACTAAAACTTTCATACAAGAACTCCAGGAGTATAATCCCAAACCTCTCATCTTGCAGCATGCCTGTCTGCAGATGTGAAATTAATAGGTCCCTGTTCAGTACACATGTAAAGACACTAAGCACAGCCGCTTGCTTGAAGGCAAGTGCCACAATCTACTTCAGATGTAGGTATTCTAGATTGTGGGCTAAGTGGTCAGAACTTTCCAAAAGCAAGGCTAACAATTAATGGGCAAAACTGTATTCTCCGTGAGATGGAAGCTTCACAAGAAAGCTGTCTTATACTGATTCAGACCATTCGTCTAGTCTTACTGGCTGCAGGTGTCCAGGGTCTTGGGTAGATATCTTTTACATCACTTACTAGCTGATCTTGAAAGGCTGGCAGGCTGCTCTCAAGAGAATGTTTTCATTCACACTCCTGAGTTCTTATCTAGAAAACTGACTTGTTTCCCTCTGTCACTGGGTACCAGGTGCAAGATCTCTGTGTCTAGAATGTAGCACTGATGAAGCTGTTCTTGACTTGTAGCCAGCAATTTGGGTATAAGATGTTTAGCTATGTATCTCATCTTGAGTTGTGGCTGGCTTTGCTGTGTATGTTTCAAGGCCCAGTGGATTGAAGCCTGCTATTTCTGTAAATGTGATGTTTTATTAAAATCTTGTAAGCAACCATGGATCTTGCATATCATTTCCTTGGGATTTCTGCGAACTTTGGAGCTTCTGGCTAGGGCTGCAAACACCCTGTTACTGTTTCTTATTTAATCATGTCAAGCACCTACTTTGAGAAGTATGTTTTGTACTACTTTTGAACTACACTAAGCTTGGTTTCAGTATAGTGCCACTTCACTCTTCCAGAGCCAGTTTGTTTAGGTGCCCTGGTGTATGATAATCAATACCTGGAGAGACAAATAATCACGTAAGGGGGAAAACAGCAATATTTTCAGTTGAAGGTCAGCAACTCCTAATGTGTACCCAGTTCCATTCATTCCAAAACTGGATGTGCCTGCTCCAGAGTTTTTTTTGTTTTCCCTTTGTTTTCTTGGTGGCTGCTCCCTGCAGGAGATTATAGGTGCTTTGGTGACGCATGCATGTGGTGGAAATGATGTGGAAGTGGATGTCTCTCTAGATGTGCTCGTTGACCTGGTGTCTGAACATACCTCATCAGTAGTTCCATATGCTGTCTTTCTGAAGGTAAGCAGAGAGCTTTGACTGTAGTAACAAAAGACAAACAACTAACCCTCTCAAAGATAGTGTCAAAAATACTAGTGGGGGGGGGGGGTTGATGAGAGGTGGCAGTAAAAAAACATGCCAGTATTTAAAAACAAAAATTCCGAGCACACTACCAATTTTGCTTAGTTTGAGTAAGGGCAAATAAACATGACATAAATGGGAATAGTCTGATTTCAGTCTTCAATGGGTTGCTTCTTCTACTGGAATCCCTACACATTCTGAATCTCTTGACAATTGGGGCCCAGCTCATCTGTGTTAGGTAATCCTGACTACATACTCTTGCATAACCATGTAGGTAGGTACCTTACTGGGTCAGAGCAAGGTCAAACTAGTTCAGCATTCTTTGCAATCATTAGGCACAGGGTGGTCCTTCTGCCCACTCCTGACCTGAAGGAAGCCTATCTGTGTGTTCCATTGCTGTATTGCAAACCAGTTATTGAAATCAGTTTTGCCTGATTTGATATTTTTTTCCTTTCAGAGCATTTTAGACTACGTGGATAATTTAAGTCCACAGCAAATCCGGAAGCTGTTCCACATCCTTAGCTCACTGGCATTCAGTCAGGAGCCCAGAAGCAGCCACATTCAGGTGAATGATAATGCAGTTTATACTTGTGATGAATGTCCAAAGTTTGTTGTATGTCTGTGATTGGGTGTGAATTTCATGCATGTCCAAACATGTGAATCTGTTTCTCCATTACTCAGACCAGTGAATGCCAACAAACCTGTATAGGTAACTGTCAGAGTAAAACAAAGGGGCTTGTGAACCCTTAAAAGAATAAGCTTTGTCAACATCTTGCTCACAAAACCTTATGCAGTAATTAGCATATTAGTCTTTAAGATGTCAACAACAATTCTTTGTTTTGACTGAAGCAGATTAACATGGCTACCTGGTGTATTTCTGAGATTTCAGAAATTCACAAAATGTTCTTGGGATTGTCCACACTTAGAACCATCGAGTTGGAAGGTACCTCCAGGGTCATCTAGTCCAACCCCCTGCACAAGGCAAGAAATTCACAAATACATCCCACTCCACACCTGCAGTGACCCCTGTTCCACACCCAGAAGATGACTAAAAACCTCAAGAATCCTGGCCAAGCCGGCCTGGAGAAAAATTGCTTCCTGACCCCAAAGTGGCAATCAGCATTTCCCTGGGTGTGTTAGAACGGGCCACAAAAACTAAGCACTGAGGCAACCATTCCTGCCCTCCCTCTCATGATCTGCCTAAATTCACAGAATCTGCACTGATGTCAGATGGCCCTCTAGCCTCCGTTTGAAAACCTCCAAAGAAGGAGAGCCCACCACCTCCTGAGGAAGCCTGTTCCACTGAGGAACCACTCTGTCAGGAAGTTCTTCCTAATGTTAAGCCGAAAACTCTTCTGATTTAATTTCAGCCCATTGGTTCTGGCCCAACCTTCTGGGGCAATAGAAAACAACTCCATACCATCCTCTAGATGATAACCCTTCAAGTACTTGAAGATGGTTACCATAGCACCTCTCAGTCGTCTCCTCTCCAGGCTACTTACATGTGAATGGTGACATCTACTACTACTAATTTGCTTCCACCCAGAACCTGAGGCATGTATCCCTTGAACATTTTGTCTGTTTTCTGAAGTCATCAGAGAAATACGGGGGACAAGAGGATTTACTGACAAAACTTCCCCCAAGGAGACCCTTTGCAGGATGGGAACTGTGGCAACTGTTTATGCATTGAATGTTTCATGCTGCTTCTCTGGTTTCACCTGTGACCTGATGGCATGACATTTATCATGTCTAGATGAGTTACTGCTCTGTTCCCTCTCCTTCTGTGCAGGACGACATGCACATGGTGATCAGGAAGCAACTCTCCAGCACTATTACCAAGTATAAATGCACTGGGATTATTGGTGCAGTTACCATGGTGAGCAGCATGGCAGCAAGAAGGTGAGCAAGTGAAGAAAAATATGCACATTGTCATATGACTATTTTAGACCCAGAAGAGGGTAGGTATGGTGTATCTTGATAACTGCACTATAGAGATCCAGGAGAATAAAGATTTCTTGAAAAAATTGGTGTCCAAATGTATAAGGTGTGTTGCTTTCTGCAATCCAGCAGTATTCAGTTGAGGTGGATTGTCAGCATGGTTTAGAAAAAGTAACCAGCAAGATCTGAGGTGTGTTACATGCAATATATACATTACCCAAGAGAGGAAAATGATGGGCAAGATTCTTTTAAGATTTTTTAGATGCTCATTATTATGGTTTGCAGTCCTTTGTGGATTATTGGTACATTGTAAGGGAGGAGGATTAAATCTACGTTGAGGGGGTGGGATTTAGAGGAACTACATCATCAAAATGCATGCAATGAATTAGGGAAGTGCTAGTTCTGTGGAATATTTATTTACCATCCAGAACCTGACAAAGGGTAGTCAAATGCCAGAAAGGGGGTCAATATTAAAAACTTTTTTTAAAAAACCGATAACGTTTATTTATTAGGTATATTTTCAGAAGGTACAAGGTAGAAGAGAGGTTACAAACAGCTGAATGCGTAATACAGAATAATAACATACAGTGATCATAAAACCTTACACAGAAACTGTAGTAAACATTGTATTTAAGGAGCAAACTAATATCATAGCATCATTGACCATATAACATTACTTGGTAATCAATATTAAAAACTTAATGAAGGAAATATATAAAAAAATACATTTATTAATCACAAATTTTAAAATTATATAAGGGCCCAATCACACGTTATGTATAAATAACAAATGAAAAAACACATGGGCTGATAATGGGCCGGTCAGATTTATCAGCCCTTGTGTTTTATCCTTTGTTATTTATACATAACGTGTGATTGGGCCCTTATATAATTTTAAAATTTGTGATTAATAAATATATGTATTTTTAATATATTTCCTTCATTAATATTGGCCCCCTTTCTGGCATTTGACTAACCTTTGTCAGGTTCTGGATTTTCCCCCCCTCCCCCCTTTTTTGTCCCTGAATATTTATTTACTTCATTTATAGCCCACCTTTCTCACTGAGACTTAAGGCAGGTTACAAAATACAGAAACCAATTCAATGAGACAACATAAGACATCAAATAAAACAATGCAATAGGACACGGATCACAGAAATTAGGAAATAATGCAAACATAAAACTAAGGCATAACATAAGCAATTTAGAGAGGGGATGACAAAGGTACAAGACTGTACAGTAAAAGCAAGATGATACATATAATAAATATTGCAATAGACGTCAATTCTGTTCCCTTATAAAAGTGCCCTCCTGGTCTGTTTCATTATATTGCAGCTGTGATCTCTATATAAAAATGCCCTCCTGAACGTTTTTGTTTTACATGTAAAGGGGATGGCAGGCAAAGATTTTTATGGGATTAACAAAAAAGGCAAAGAGAGGTGAACAATTGCCAGTAACTCAAATGCAAGCCATATGCAGAGTTATGCCAGTGCGCTAATATACACAAGCACCCTGTGCTATTGTTTATCTGTTCCTTACTGTGAGACCTCACGTGTGCCAGTGTTTGGGTTGCAGAAGTTTGATTAATTATTAGTCTGTCAGTTATCAGTCATGTTAAGCTTTATATTTCCAGTTAAGTAAATGGGATTTCTTCTACTTGCTCTTAAAGTTTGTTTTACTGGGTCTCATCATCAAAACCTGTAGCTATCCTGAAGAGCCCAGGCTCACTTGCTTGATTTCTGTCCATTAAACTATCATTTTTGTAATACGAAAAAGAAACTTAGGAGGATCTCTTGAGCTTTGGAAGCCACCTCTGTCCAAGAGCATCCTTGCATGTGATAATTATACTAGCATAAGGATGACTTGACTACTTGGATCATGACCAGTGAGTTGTCAGTAGGACTACAGTGAGTAAAGGTTTATATATACATCAAGGGTTTTTTAGGATTCTTAGAATCATTCTCCATCCCAGAGTGTGAAACCTGCATTCAAGTGCCCAGCCGCGTCAAATGACATTAATGAATATCTACCTATTAATTTCAGGAGTAAAGAAAATGGGCATCTATTGGAAAAAGCACCCCTAAGAAAGGAGCAGTGTAAACAGGTAAATACGTAAATGTATACTGCATTCTCAGACGAGTAACCTGGGAGAGAGAAATTAGTCCTTAGAGAAGTCACTACTGAATGGAAGCGATGGGTCCATATAATGCCTGGGCAGACTTTCAGATCAATGTCATCAAATACAGTCACACACATGGATGGACAGGATTTGTGCATTTCCCTCTTAATTGTTTCCAGCATTCTATTAGGAATTGATAGAATTTGAAACAAGGTCTGACAGGGTTTAAGAGTTGCCTTGTGCTGTATGAGAAATCTTCCATTGCAGGAAAACTACTTCCTTCTCCTCGCTCCCTACAAACTAACTGGGTATCCACTGTCATCAAAACTCTAAGAGTATCTCCTGCTAAATGGAACCGTATGTCTAGCATTCTGTACCTGCGTTGGTGTTTAAGGCTCTGCCTACTTGTTGTGCCTGTCCACTTCCCTCCACAAGCTAGCTTGGGGAACAATTTACTGCAACTCTGCCCATTCTAGCTATCTTGCTTCAGGGATGGTGAGCTGACTGCTGCCCCTCGTCTTTCAGATAGCAAGACCAAATAGTCATAGTGTGTTTCTAGCATAAAGCATTCAAAATATAAGAAAGTTTTTAAAATGAAGAAAACATATTATACATTTAGTAAAGGTAAAAGTTTCCCTTGCTTGAAAGCTAGTCGAATCCGACTCTAGGGTGGGGTGCTCATCTCTGTTTCCAAGCCAAAGAGCCAGTGCTGTCCAAAGACTTCTCTGTGGTCATGTGGCCGCCATGACTAAATGCTGAGGTGCACAGAATGCTGTTACCTTCCCACCAAAGCGGTACCTATTTATCTACTTGCAGTTTCTTGCTTTCGAACTGCTAGGTTGGCAGGAGTTGGGACCAGAGACGGGCGCTCAGTCCGTCATGCGGCACTAGGGTCTCGAACTGCCAAACTACAGGCCTTCCGGTCTGCAGCTCTGAGCCACCACATATTAAATGGCACACCTTCTTGCAGCATAAGAATCCAAGCTGTAGCCTAAAGAGTTCTACATGTTGCAGTCCATATTGATGTAGCATAACATATCAAAACATACTAGCATGGCAAAAAGCGTAAAATTAGCATGGCTTTCCTCTGGCCTGTAGCCTTATTATAGTCTTTTGCCCTCTGGCCATCAGGTAGTTCCTTGGATCCAATCAGGAATCCCCCCTGATGGAACTTGTCAGAAGATATTAACATTCACACCTGCTTCCCCCCTCCCATCTGGTTACACAACTGAGCACAGGTTCTTACAGTTAGCCAATTACCACGTTCTTGAATCCAGCCTTGAAAAAGGATGATATCTTCAGGAACACCCAAACCGTGGACACCTGTGAGCCAGAGCAGGCCTGCTAATAGTCACATTAACCCTTGAGGGGAATTAGGGTGCTTTGCCTCATAGTCTGTGTATAGGTTTGTGTGATAAATCAATGCTTTTTGAGTCAGATAGTACTGGTAGCTGATGTGCAATCACTCCTTCATTTCTCTAACAACTTGTCATAATTTTCAAAGGGGAATTTGCAAAAGGGATCTTGTATATCTATAGCTAACAAAATTACCTGCACAACTTTATAGTATTTTTTATAAAAGTCAAGTGCTGTAATCATTCAGCTAGTGATGCTTCATATCTGAAGTTTCAAAGTACGCTAACATTTGTGGGCTGAGTCGATGTCGTGCAATAATTGTTCTGCTTTTTTTTTTTTCCAGATCACATCTTTGCTCCAGCTGGTGTGCTCTTGCTGCAAGCAGGTTCCCCAAGCCTCGGCTCTGTACTATGATGAACTTGCCAGCTTGGTTCAGAAAGGGAATCTGGACTTGCAGATCCTGGTAGGATACAGAACTATGGGTCTTCATCTGTTCAATTCATGATTGCGACTAGGACAGTGTTGCATCCCAAACTGTGTAGTGATTCTTTATTGCAGCAGATGATTGTTAAATAATTGGGTTTTTTGTTTTTTTTAAAACAAAGCCTTGTTTAGTAAAGGCAATCTGAAGGGTGCTTAGTCCTTTCAATGTTTCTAATTGCGTTCTCCATGCAGTTGCAAATGCTTGGTTTGAAACGCTTATTTATTTACTTATTATTTATTTATGTGTTAGATTTATGTCCCGCCCTTCCACATGGGCTCAGGGCGGCTAACATAAGAGGCAAATGCCATGCATAAAACAATTTAAAATCAATAATCGTTACAATTAAAATATCGGTGCTCGGTAGTAAACTATGACAGTTCCAAGATGGGGATTCCGGTGATACGCTCCAGGGAACGCTGACGTCTCTTCTAGTTAGTACTTCACTTTGTCAGCTCTTCCATCCCAGGGCCAGTGCACCTTGTAGAAAATTCCACCAACAAGGATGAGAACACGGTGGTGGTACAGTGGCGGCAGCGGCTCCTACTCGAAAGCCTGGCGGAAGAGCTCCATCTTACAGGCCCTGCGGAACTGTGCAAGGTCTCACAGGGCCTTGATCTCTTCCGGGAGCTCATTCCACCAGGTAGGAGCCGCCACCGAAAAAGCCCTGGCCCTGGTGGTAGCATATTTAACAACCTTGGGGCTGGGATAACCAATAGATGTTGTGCCCTGGAAAGGCGGTCCCACAGGTAAGCCGGACCCTGGCCTTGGTGGTGGGGAGAGCAACTTGGAAGGGGGATTTGGAGCAGGGAAAGAATTAAGCACCTCTATCAGTTCCTCTCTCCCAATGGCTTTTAAGGAAGAGCTGGGGCTGCTGGACATTTGCATATATTTCCCGTCTGTAGAGTGCCATTGCTTGTACTGAATACAGAATAGTGTGTATATAAAAATATTACAGAAATGGTTCAGTGGATGGTTAATGACTGTGGTGATATTCTAGGAAAACTGATTAATATCATTATGATAATATATCATCAGTTTACCTCAGAGTTTGGTGCATTTTTAAGGTATTCTTCCTCCATATATCCTACATTTTGCTGGGTCATTTTTAGGTCTGTATCTGCAAAGTATCACAGTTATTATTATTTATTGAGTTTCTGAATAGCCCAATCCCTGAGTACTCTGGGTGATTTACGACAGGTAAAAAACATACAAAAAATAGAGATTGAAATCAGCAGATCAATCATTCCTAATTTGATAATCTCCAGATGGTGTCCATAATTTAATCTAAAACCTACTGTGGACTGTTCTGCTGTCTCATGGGCAGGTTAAGGAGGAGGCCGAAGCGGGCAAGATGGAAGAAAAGAGGAGGGTGCCAGCTATGATGGAAAACTGTTGCTGTCCTTAACCCAAAGCTCGGCGGAACATCTCTGCTTTACAGGCCCTGTGGAACTGCATTAAGTCCCTCATGGCCTTGATGGAAGTCGGCAGAGAGTTCCATCAGGTCAGAGCAAGGGCCAAGAAGGCCCTGGCTCTCGTTGAGGACAGATGGATATCTTTGGAGCCAGGGATCACCAGCAGATTGCTCTCAGCTGAGCGTAATGCTCTCCCGGGGACATAAACGAGGAGACGGTCCCAGAGATATGCAGGTCCCAGACCACTCAAGGCCTTAAAGGACAATACCAACACCTTGAATCTGACTTGATATTCCACTGGAAGCCAATGTGGCAGGCGCAGCACAGGTTGTATATGTGCTGTACATGGCGTTCCCATCAGGATTTGCACCACCGCATTCTGGATCAGCTGGAGTTTCTGGGTTAGTCTCAAGAGAAGGGCCAGCATAGAGCGAATTACAGTAGTCTAATCTGGAGGTGATCGTTGCATGGACTACTGTGGCTAGGTCAGGGTGTGACAGGAAAAAGTCAGGGTGTGACTTGCAAAACAAATTTGAAATCTTTATTGGAAGGAACTCCATTCTAGACAGGATAGAGTAAAGGCAGGATTCTAATCTAGTCTAAGTAGCTAGGATGGATAGAGATGCGGGAAGCATGTCTTGCCTTCATGGTGCCAAGATGGAAAAGAGCATGGAGAGAAAAAGTGTTAGCCACAAGGAAGGAAGATTCCCTGAGAATAGTAATATACACATCAAAGGGATAGTATCAGAGCTGTTAGAGAAGAAGGATGTTCAGGGTCCTGACCTATCTATCCCCCTGACTCTGTAGTCCCCCTCTGAAGATTGAGGCTAAGAGACAGCAAAGTCCTTCAGTTCCAGTAGCAATACTGTGCTGCTGGTATGTGACTATATCAAGCCTGTTGCAGAGAGGATGGTTATTTTGAGACCAACTTTTTAAAAATGCTATCTGGTTTTTATAGAGTGCCTGTGGTGGTCTGAATGAAACTGGTAAGTTGTATAAGAGGAGGCTTGAAGGCTGTTTCTGCATCTTGCTATCCTTCCAGGTCAGAGAACCAAAGGAGACGCCGCCAGATTCCCCATATTACCTTGAACAGGTCAAAGGGGTTTAGTTGATTTTTTTTTAATCAAGACAAAATTTAGATTTTGAGAGACCAGTTTTGGTTCTGCATGGCATCTTCCACAATGCCATACCTGGAGACAAACTGTGTGCAACGCAGAAAAGACTATACACTGCTTGCAACTTAGATTTATCTCGATGTGACCATTCTGTTTGCTTACCTTTCAAAAGAAATATGGACCCTGCAAAAATTAGGTCTTTGTTCTTTTAAAAAATACTGTCCTGTGTGAATCGCCTTGAAGCTTGACCTTCTTCTCTGTATCTGTTTCCCTATTTAATCATGCTAGAGTCTCTAGCTTGGTAAAGGAGGATCCAGCTACAGTTTTCTAAAAGTAATTACATTTTATTGGATTTTACATAGTTGGTTTTCCCCCTAAGCAGCCTGGCTGCAACTCTGAAAAGAGAGAGTACCTCTGAAAAGCTTTCCCTCTCTTGCTATAGCTTTTTGCAGTGAGTTCTTCTGCAGATCCACTGTTTTCTCTCCTCTAGGATTGGATTGAGAAAGGTGTGGTGAAGGACTTTGAGACAGATTTTGTGGCAGAATTTCCTCCTTTGGGTGACAGGTATGTAAAAAAAAAATGCCACTGTTTTTAGTAAGAGTAATAGCATCTGTTGTTACAGAGCTGATCATGAGTTTTTGGTTCCTCTGCAGTGTTTCCCTCCTCCCAGTGAAGGCACTGTATAGCTTGGAAGATGAGGAGAGTGAGGGAATGATTGTTATTAACCTGTTGCCTCTGCTGTCTCAGAGTGATCTCAGCATGGATGAAACAGCAGACCCGAATAAGGAGAAAAGGTCAGTAGTGCTTCATAAGAGGATGAATAAGGAATTTGCTAAGTCATGGTTCCCTAGGCCTGGATACAACATTCCTCTTAACAAAATGTTGTAATTGCCATACCAATCTAAGCTTTTGTTTTTCAAAAGCATTAAGTTTCTATCAATTTGGTTGTGAAAAAAACATGGCAGGTCTGCTCAGTGCTTAAAAGCACTGGATAGGGAGTATGGGTAGGGAATAGGTCCCAGCTCCTGCCCCTCCCAGCTGCCGTTTGCAATCATTATCCTTCTGGTTCTTTACGTGCGTTTCTTTCTTTTTTAATTTTTAATTTCAGAACAAAAAATAAATTACACCACGATACCGCATCAAGTCACTTTTTTCCCTTTTTAAACAAGTCACCCGTAACAAAAAAAAAATTATAAGTAAACAATCGTTGCAATATTCTAGCTGCTTATTTTAAACTTGTTAAGATAACATATACTCAGTTAACAGTCAGTCTTAATTATTTATTTTATCTTATTATCTTATTTAATGTAAAAGTGAGGCACAATTATACAAGTCTAAAATCATATTTAATTCCTTCTTCCAAAATTCAGAAAAGGATTTCCAGTTGTCAGGAAAATAAGCTTTTTAATACAACCATCTCTTATAATTTTGCATAATTTTTGGATCCAAGATTTTATAGTGAGTTGTTTACTAGTTTTCCAGGTTTTTGCTATTACTAGCTATAATCATGTCAAAAGTCATATGGACTTTTCGATTGTATGCATTAACAGTCCCAATAATACTGCACTGGGATCTTTATAGCCATTTCTATTTCCTAAAGAACCTCCCTTTTCGAGTCCTTGACAGAAACTGAGGACAGTAACAATTTTGTGAAACCACAAAAAGTGCACTCTTAAATATGCCATATTTGCACTATCTCTTTGATTAGTAGAACTTGGGCTGTCTCGTTGCAAAACACAGAATTTGTAGCACAGATTTCTATGCCCCGATTTTTTCTTTCTGTGCGCACACAAGGTGTCCCCCCCCCTTCTTCTTTCACAGATTAGTGTCACCAATTTGCCTGCCACCATTCTTCCGGCTGCTGAGAGTCTGTGTGTCAGAGATGAACAAAGGAAACATGGAAGAAATTGATGCCTTGTTGGGTAAAACAAATGGAGACTTGGCTTTTCTTTATCTAATTTCTACCTCCATGATTTGCTGTAAGGAGTGAGGGGGAGTGGGCCTGTAAGTAGGGCTGAGGTAGAGCACAGTGGTTTTTTTTACCTAATCTGTGGGCGTTTGTTGTACAATCCAGCTTTCTGTAAAGACTGAAACGCACTCTTTAGTAATCAATAGGCCTGCTATCTCCTAGGAAAGCTGAGCTCAGAATCTCCCCCCAAAAAAAACACATTCTAGTTATTGTATGCAAATACTGTAGATTATTTATATCTTAAAAGATATTGGCAGGGTGGAGAATCTCACGTTGATTTCCAGGGGAGGCTTAAAACCCTCATTTTAACCATATTGTGTTACAGGATGTCCTCTTTATCTGACTGATTTGCCAGAAGAAGGGAAGTTAGGCTCCTTATCAAATCAAGAGCTTGAACTCCTCTGTTCACTCTTATTTTATACACTTAACTGGTTCCGTGAGGTAAGCAGTCCTACTATGGTTTCTTGGAATTTCTTTTAATACAACAGCTCTGAGAAATGTTTTGAACCCCTCAGTTTCTAGCTAATAGCTGAGGTAAATCTAGCTGTAGTATGGGAAGGCCTTTCTGAAGTAAAGCATAATGGGAAGCTTTTCCAAATAATGATGTGCTTTTCTAGAGTGGAGAATCTTAGGGTTTGAGGGGACGGGGCACACACATACTTTTAATCACATGTTCTTGCCTGCACAAGTGTCTTTTTGAACATGCATACTAAGTAACATATGAAGGATACCTCAGTTTCTCACCTTTTAAAAATTGTTTCTTTTTTCTATTGGTGGCAGCATCACTTTTGAAAATCCTCTGTTCCAACCTCCTGGCACAATTCTGAGATACAGTTCTACTTGGGGACATATCCAGGGCCTCCCCTCTTAAATTACTGAGGTGGTATGCCTAACCAGAGACTTCCTCCATACTGTCATTCTCCTCTTGGATGTTGAATAAGTTGTGCCCTCCCCCCACAGCCTCCATATATAAACAGCAACGGAGGCTTAGGCAGAGTTCCCCTGTATGTACCTCAGTTTATGACTTCTGTATGTGAGACACATGTATGTAAATGGGAACGAGTAGATGAATAAGGAGAAAACTGTTCAAGCTGGAGATGAAGGGGAAAAGAGAACCTCTAGCTGTGCTTTCTGTGGGCAAAGCCAATGTCACTGTCCTTTCAGACTTTGCTTAGTTCAAAATACGCCCTTGTTTAAAAATGGATGGTTAGCTGGAATCATAGCGTAGAAGCACAGGAATGTGTCTGCAGATCTTGTCCCCTAGGAACCTACAGCTTTGAGGATGCATATGAGTTTTTCGAAACTCTTGTATCCTGATGCTGCATAGATTTCTGTGAGGCCTTGATGTGTGAAGGTGTCACATTCATCATTTGTTTTATCAGTGGTTTCAAAAGAAAATTCCCCATTTCCTCATCTACATATTAGAAATGCAATTTGTTTCTCAAGGTTGTGAATGCTTTCTGCCAACAAGAAGACCCTGAGATGAAAGGGAGAGTTTTGGCTCGGCTACAGAATATTACAGAGTTACAGTGTCTGTTGGAAAAATATTTAGCAGGTAGGCATGCACAAATTACAGGTTTAAAAGCAGGTGGGGGAGATCAAGTCCAGTGTCCAAGTAGACTCCAGGAGAGAGACTCTCACTTTTTCAGACAGGTACTCCCGGTATTTCCTTGCAGCTTTCCCTCTTATTATCGGGCAGTAAACTTTCAATTAGCATGATAGCTGGGTGCGTTCATTCTTATATATAGTTATTTGATACTTGGTCTTGGGAGCTTGGCCTAGAAATAGCAACTCAAGGAAATCAATAACATAGTTTTAAAATATTAAATGATTGTTCCATTTAAAGTCATGCCATACCAGTTTGACCCCAGCCACACCCAGGAAAAGGGTATTTCAATCCATAGTGATCTACATGTAGCCTTTGATTAATTTGCAGTTGGATTGTAAACAAGCTGTGGTGCCATGTAAGATAGACAAAGAGAGTGCCACACACCTCTCAAATGATAATGGTCAGCTTCTTTCTCCTGTACTTTGTCTATAACTATTGGTAGCCAACAAACAAAAAGTCCTGTACCAAAATATATTAAGTTTTTCTAAGTAGGGTCTGCATGCAAGTTTAGCCTTGCTGTAATACCTGGAAGACTAGGTGCCTTGGTACTCTGTGAAGACTTAGGGTCCTAAAGCTCTAAGTGGAAAAATATAGGAGTAAGTAAGTATGAAGCGTGGAGCTGCGGTGGCTCAAGTGGTTAAGACGCTGAACTACAGACCGGAAGGCTGGTAGTTCAGCAGTTTGAGACCCGAGTGCCACATGACGGAGTGAGCTCCCGTCTCTGGTTCCAGCTCATGTCAACCTAGCAGTTTGAAAGCAAGAAATTTCAAGTAGATAAATAGGTACCACTTTGGTGGGAAGGTAACAGCATTTTGTGCGCCTTGGCGTCTAGTCATGCTAGCCACATGACCATGGAAACGTCTTCAGACAGTGCTGGCTCTTTGGCTTGGAAACGGAGATTCCTACGGAAACCCTAGAGTCAGATTCGACTGGCTTTCGAGCAAGGGAAGCCTTTACCTAAGTGTGAAGCATTTGTCAGAAGTCTGTTCTTTAGCTGCTGTTCTAATCTTCTTGAGCAGGTACACGTTATAACACCTCTGCATGGAAAGTACACATCAGAACTAGCCTGTTATATGTGTACATGTCATAACAGATGGTGATCCTGCACATCTCCAAAATGCTACAAGTTTTTATGTTGGGCAGCTGCTGTTGGCTCTATATCTCTGTACATGTATAATGGTTGCATGTTACAATTTGTGCACTGTTAATGTGCTGATTCCCATATGGAAGTACTTTCGGTATAAGAACTTTGCAATATGTGAAGCAATCAACTGACTTAATTCTCCTTTGGCTTTTCAGCAAGCCCTGGCTATGTTCCTCCTCCTGCTAATTTTGATTCTGAAACCTTGGTGGGAGTACCCATTGTCAGTACTGTTGGTCCCACCAAAAAGAACAGCAAAGGTAATACATCTGTAAAAGGTTGTCTTTACACTTAAGGTGAAACGAAGTGCAACTGGTGGTATAAAGCTATGGTATGTTATTGGATTGTCTAATTTGCAATGGCTTTCTCAGTAAGAGGTCTTTCCCAGCCCTGATACTTTTAACTGGAGATGCTAGCAATTGAACCTGGGAATCTTGCCTGTGTCTCCTCTCTAAAAAACACTTAATTATAAACATCATTGTATGTGAAAATTGTTTCCTTCTTCTGCTTTTTAAAGACTTTGTTTCTACTATGTTGAAAGAAGAAGCTTCCTGTCTTCTGCTTGCCATTTATATCTGTGTATTTTTATCATGTTCCTTTACTCTGAAGTTCTCTGCACCTTCATCTCTACCTGTCAGAGTTCTTTCAAAATGGGAACAAGCATTTTCCAAAGGGAACTGATGTTCCTTATTACATTTGTATCTTGGAAGAAGGGGTGGTATCCCATTTTATCTTCCCAACAATAATAGATTAGGCTGAGAGCAAATAAGTGGCCCAACATCAACCTCTAAGTATTATGACTAAGCAGGGAGTTCAACCCAGTTGTCCCCTGTTTGAGTCCAGCATGGTGTCCATGACTCCTCTCTGTGTGCATGCAGGGGTCATTTCCTGCTGGAGCGCCCCAGAGCAGTGCTCCAGCAGTAAGTAGTCCAGGCCCCACCCACCCCCCGCCTTTCCTGGCCACTGGTGGAGAGACTTGGGGGGGGCACCTGGAGAAGATCGGGCAGGGGAGCCAGGCATGTCTGCTTCCCTGCCCTCCCCTTCTCTAGCCAGCCCACTGCGGCGGGTTGGCTGGAGAGGGGAAGGGGAGGTGGGCAGACATGGCCCCTTTCCTCCTGAGCCTCTCCACGTTTGCGGAGAGACTGGGGGGGGGATTTAAACTCATTTGCATATGCCTTAACTCATTTTAAACATGCCCGCCCTTTGTCAAGGGGTGTGGCATATGCAAATAAATTATGCAAATGAGATCCTGCACCTCTTTTTCTAGGAAATGACCCCTGTGTGCATGTGTTAAGTGCCGTCAAGTTGCTTTCAACTTATGGCAACCCTAGGAATCCATGACCTCCAAAATGTCCTGTTGTCAACAGTCTTGCTTAGGTCTTGCAAACTGAGGGCCATGGCTTTCTTGATTGAGTCACTCCATCTTACGTTGGGTCTTCCTCTTTTCCTGCCGCCTTCAACTTTTTCTAGCATTATTGTCTTTTCCAGTGAGTCTTGTCTTCTTATAATTCGACCAAAGTACGATAGCCCTCAGTTTAGTCATTTTAGCTTCTAAGAAGAGTTCAAGTTTTATTTGATCTAGAAGCCACTCATCTTTTTGGTGGTCCACAGTATCCATAAAACTCTCCTCCAGCACTGCACTTCAAATGAATCAACTTTTTTCATTGTCCAACTTTCACACCCATACATAGTAATGGGGAATGACTCCATTTTAGCTCTTACCACTTTTAAAATAGCCGAATTAACCCAGCTGAATTTGCATTCCCCTGCTGTGAAGAGGGCACAGAGTGTTCAAGTTTGAATCCTTTATGGAGACTTCATAATCATGTTTGTGTGTGTGTGTGTGTGTCCATTCTAGTTGCTTTGCTGTTTGCATGTAACCAACTAAAAGCTGTCATAGCCACCCTCTTTTTCTTTTTCAGGAAGAAAAAGGAAAAAACCCGACAGCAACAAAAACAGCTCTACTGACAATTCACAGTGGGATGAAAACACAGAGGCAAATCAGCCTGAAGCTGAAACCAGTCAGCCAGAAAAGGTTCTGGATGTTACATTATTATTTGGGGGGTGGGTGGGAATGACATAAGAAAAAGAACTAAAGAGAGAAGTCTGGGGTGCTGTTTTAGAACACTTGTACCCCACATTTCCTCATGGTTTAAGGTGGCTTACAACAATAGTTAAAAAAACACTGCCAGTTAGAACCAGAAGAAAATAGCATACCCCAAATCTCCCCCCACCCCTGCCTGCTTTTAAACCCCCTTAAAAGCCTTGGCTAACAAGCAAGCTTTGCAGCACTTCCTGAAGATCTCCAAAGAGGTCCCCCCCCTTCCTCCTCAGGGAGCCCATTCCACAGAACTGAGGACATGAAGGCCAGGGCTCTGGTCGAATCCAGATGGGCCCCCCTAACTGGTGTGGGACAGCCAACAAATGGCTGCATGAAGACCACAGTTGCATCATGGGAACCTATGGGAGGAGGCAGACTCTTTGTTTGGGAATCTTTGTAGAAATATGATCTCTGGGCTGCTCCATAATGATGGTTATCTATTTCTGAAAGTCTAGCAGATGGGAAACATATAGAAAGAACTGTAGTAAAAATGGCATGGTACAAGCAAGCTAGGGGAGAAGTCAGTGCATAATGAAGTCGGGCAGGGCAGTAGCGAATAAATATTTCTGATTCCTACAAGACACCATCATGTTGCTAGGTATCTAGGATTTTTTATTCCCTGAATTGGAGTATCTTTGGCTTCATTATTTTTCTTTCATTCGTTTATCTGGGAGTGCAGTAGGCATCTTCTTGCTGAAAATTTGGAGCTCCCCATTTTCAGTGAGTCCACTTTTTGTACAAACAGTTTGGGACATTACTGGATGAAATGCTGCCAGTGGAATGTACAGACACCTCTGTCTCTAACTGGCAGCACTCCTATAATAGAAGGGGGATTTGCAAAACTTGTGTCCATCTACAGCCTGTTCATTTCCCTTGTGAAAGTTTCCATATAACACATTATCAAGAAGCAAACCAGCCAAAGCGAAACCTTCTGTATTTGTTTGGCAGCTCTTCAGGTAATATCTGAAGCTGTTCTTACAATGCTTTGTTATGCAGAAATGTGAAAAATAAACCATCCATAGCTGCTTGTTCACTAACGGTTTCTTTTTTAGGACTCCAAAGAGAGTGAATCAGGGGCCCCTTTGGTACAGCTGCAGAATTATAGCGCATATTTCCGTGAATTAGACTTTGAAGTTTTTACCATCCTTCACACTGAGTTGCTGACCAAATCTGTTCTGGACACAGAGATGCACACAAAGGCAAGCAGATTTAAAGAACAGTGTGAAGAAAATAGAGAAGGAGGGTGGAAATTCTCATTTGGAAGACCTAAGCTTTTTTCAAACTTTGTGTGTGTGTGGGGGTGTCTTTTCATTAATGCAAAAAGAAAGAAAATCCCATGGCTGGGTTAACAATAAGGGTCAAACAATGAGAGGAAACCAGTATTCTGTTCCCTGATGCAAGAGGAGCTGAATTAACAATAACTCCATTATGGATGTACTTGTGTCTGTCTTCCATGGGTTACATGGCTTTGCAGCAGTCTAAAGTGACAACTGGGACAAGTATGGTTGCTAAAGAAATTCCATTTGTCAGTATGAACTTGGCAAAATTACTTGGAAAGGAGGATATAGTCCAGTGTCAGCTCCTAAGCCATCATTGATTCTTGGCATTGGCATTTGGCTTATTGGGGTGTTTGTCCTTTAAAATGCAGACCCGTGAGGTGGTGCAAATAGGGCCAGCGGAGCTCCTGTTCCTTCTTGAAGACCTGTCCCATAAGCTGGAACATATACTGATACCAACATCTGCAAAGAGACCCCCCTTCTTAAAGGTATGTGCAAAAAGAGAGAGAGAAGCATTGTCCCTCAGCTTGGAGAGGTTCTGAAGAAGAATTTGTTTAGGTAAAGATGGGACTATACTGAAGCATAGGTTCAATGCAGGCTTTCTAACCAGAAGGGCCAGCTTAAGATATTTTGTCATCCCAAGCAACGTACAGTTTTTCTCACCCCACCCTTGCCATCGTTTTCTTAAACAGCACATGGACATGGAAAATTACCTACAGTTTCCTGTGATAACTCTATTTTATTTTAAATTTCTTTAAATATATTATACTTATTAATTCATTCCAAAGGATCATAACTCCGTGGTAGAATGTGTTTAAATGCATGTTAGATTCATTTCTTTCTTACATTCAACAAGAAACTTTGTGGCACTAAACAGACTAGTAGATTGATTATAGCGTAAATAATTGCTGAAATAGAATTGGACAGTAGATTTAATTGCTTTGACCAAGGCTAAAATTGATACTATTAGAGCTGCTGTGAATGGTTAATGTATTTATCATGTACTTAAGTTGTACATTGAAATGTCACACTGTATTTCTTGCATTTCATAACATTTTACTACTGTGGTCACAATTCTTCTCTGTAATCCATTTGTGTGGTGTTACCTACAGACTGAGGATTCACTTCATCCGTCTGATGAAATAGGCTCTACCCATGAAAGTTTGTGGTCCAATAAATGTGTTAAACTTAAGGTTTCACAAAATTCCTTTTCGGTTTTGCTGCCACAAACTAGCATGGCTATGCCTCTGGAGTTTACTTAATTTCCCAGCACCTTACTAGGGCTTAGCCCAGGAATTTGTTTTCAGCTCCCACGGTGAGTGCTGGAAGAAATGGTCATTCCAAGCATGCATAAAGTGCCTTACCCTCACTGCTGAGTAACTGCAGTCCCCTGCCTCCCCACACACTTAATTGAAGCGCAGGTTGCATCTGGACAGGGACTCAGGAAGATTTTCAGATCTAAAGGATGAGACCGCCTTTCCTCTAGGGAAGGAGACAACTCCCCGTCTGATTTTTTTTCTCCCCACCCAATTTGCCAACTTCCAACCACTATTTTAAAGTTCTCTATATTAAGCACTGTGGCTGCGGTGGCTCAGAGGTTAAGATGCTGAGCTGCAGACTGGAAGGTCTGTAGTTCGGCAGTTTGAGACCCGAGTGCCGCGTGACGGAGTGAGCTCCCGTCTCTGGCCCCAGCTCCTGGCTTTCGAGCAAGGGAAACCTTTACCTATATTAAGCACCATATTTGTGAAAACAGCGATTTTATTGTAAAATATGGATCTTTAAAAACTCTCTCTCTGTAATTTAGTGTCTATAGAAGCTTGTGCAGTGAGCCAGTCCTACAACTCCGGGAATACAAGTAGAGAAATTGATGGCAATAGGAAAGTACAGGGTGACTGCTAGAGAAAAAGAATCTCTCTTGACCTTTCCTGTGGTGCATCCAAATTTGCTTTATTTTCCTGCTTTTGTTTGTGGGTCAGTTACCTTGGAGAAAATACCTGAAATTAATCTGAGAGCCCTTGATGGCTTCCAGATTGCTTGAACATCCAGACATATGTATAAGTGAGAGTTTTCTCATTCCTAACATTCTTCTGGCTTCAGGCTATATTTGAGGGATGAAATAATTATAAATAAAAACAGATTAAAGTGAGATCTGGACAATGAAATTTCATTTCATATTCTTTTAATGTTACAACTTTTGCTAAATTGGGGGCCCGGCACTTGTCGTTCGGGAATTGGATTGTGATTCTGGAAGTGTAATTTTTGTTGCTTTATATTTATATACCAGTGAATTTGGGTTTCTGGACACTATATTCTAAGTACAATATGTTTGGTGTTAAGAAAGCAACTGAGATGACCCCATGAAAGTATGTATATGCATAACATTTCCTTGGGAAAGTGACATGGATGTCTAAGCCCAATGCAAAGTCAAGAATTATCTCAATAAGGGCAACATTGAGCAGCATGTTGAATTCCCATCATGTTTTGCTCACATATTTACCTTAGGCAAGGCTGTGTCAATAGCAGTAGCATGTCTCAGTGTATACTAGATTTTACATTTGTGCCAGACTTAATCTATATTCAGTTTATATCTTATCCTATGTTTGCTAAAGATAGAAAAGCCATTTGTTTATGCTAAGGTGGGACTACTTCATTAAAAAACCTAAAGCTATTGAGCATTTTGGATAAAAGCATTGACTCTCCCGCAGGGAAAAGGAAGTAGGAATGTTGGATTCTCGCATCTTTGTCAAAGATCATCTCAAGATGTGATGGCGAGCGCTGTACAACTGTTAAAGCCACTGTGCAACCACATGGAAAATATGCACAACTTCTTTCAGGTCAGAAGACAAAATTATATAGAATACATCAACATGTAATGTGGGGCTTACAAATGGTAAGGTTTTGCTTTTGTCATGAGTTTTCTGGAAACTGACTGGGCCAACATCTTGCTAATCTGGGTCCTGTTTGAATCGTGCTGAACCAGTAAGGAACAGACTGAATGAACTACACAGGTTTTTTGAGACACAATATCCAGTGGATGAATAAATTATCTAGGACAGTAAATGCTCAAAGCATTGCATGAAGCAACACATGATAAAACATGTGGACAGTGAAGACAAAAAGAAAATAGTTACATATCCAGGGGTCATTTGGACCAGGAGGGCACAGGAGCAAAGCTCTGGCAGTTAGAAGCACAGGCGGTGGCAAGCCCCGACCCCAGCTCCCAGCAGGAGTGCGAAGCAGCACGTGTAGCATTTCCCCTGGGGGAGGAGGAGACAGAATGCGCCCTGCCTCTCCTTTCCTCCCCCCCCTCCCCACTCCAGCCCTGACTCAGCTGCTGCCTCCAGCAGGCGGGCCCGCCTGCCGGCTGCTCCCCCTACATTGCCCAAGCCCAGCAAACCCAGCTCCCACCTCACCCGCCAGAGCTCCCCACACAGCCACGGGCAAAAATGCAGCCAAGGCGCCTCGCACCTCCAGCTCTCGGTTGGACGCCGCGGCCCCTTCCGGTGATGTCAGGGGGTGTGGCATATGCGAATGAGTTATGCTAATGAGCTCCTGCACCTCTTTTTGTACAAAATGACCCCTGTACATATCAATAAATTTAGTTTTATCCCACAACATTCTGCCCTCCTAATCAACTTTGCTTCATCTAATTAAAGGCTTAGTCTGCTACATTGCAAAACAAGTTCATAGCTATCCCTCTGGAGGCTGATTCAAATCATAATGCCAGTGGAATCCGGAAAACGGGGAAATGAATACAGACAGGAAAGAGGGAAGAATGGTTCATAGAAAAACCTGCCCAACTTTGTACCTTTTCTCTTACAGGAGCTACCTCACTTCAAATTTTTCCACTCTGCCATTTTACCCCATTTAACCCCCCATTGTTCCTCTATATTCCCATAAACATTTCCATACATGTTGCTTGGCTTGGGTTTATTATGGCTGTGCCACAGCCTTGCTGCCGTTTTCATCCGTGTTATCAGCCAGGCTCCCAGACACTGTTCTAAGCTGCTTTCAAAGCCTAAAGACTCTTTTTCTACTGAAAAGGACCTATTTTGTTCATTATGGCTAGTTTGGACTCTTCAGGGTTTGGCAGGTTAACCCATCCAAGCAAACACATTGCAATATTTGTTTACTTAATATCTTTTTCTTCAATTAAGGCACTGCTGGCAGAGAATCATGGTGTAGTCGATACACCTGGAGTCAACATTCAGGAACACCAGCTTATGTCCTCCTGTTATCAGCGATTACTGCAAGTCTTTCATCTCCTCTTTGCATGGTGTGTGTACAAAATAACAAGTACAAGCGTGTGGATGCATATCAACACTCTGATTACAAGGTTTTTCTTCTGGACAGGGCTCACATCCAGCAAACCACCCCAGTAAGAGACACCTGCAATCAATGTTAGTCAGAAGATAATCGAGATGAAGGTCTCCAACATTTCTGATGAGTTTTGGCAAATTAGGTCTTGCACTAAAGACACATAAAGCTGGCAGAACACCATTCTGTCCTTCTCTCACTTACTTGATATAGTAGTGAAAGCTGATCTGATGCTTTTTCTTTTCTCAGGAGTGGATTTTCTCAACGTGAAAATCATAGCTTGCTGAAAACAGGCCTCCAAGTCCTTGCACACAGACTCAAGCCAGGGGAGAAGGAACTCCCTCTTGAGGAACTGCTCAGGTAAGCTAAAGGAAAGGATGCTTATACTTACAACACTTGGTGGTTTTAAAGTAGTACTTTGAATAGTCCAACAAAATCCTGCGTTTACATCCTGGTCTAATGGACCCTGGCTAACCATAGTTACTGCAGTGGCCTTCATTCAATCACACTAACCATATTTAGTTTAATTAAACCATGGTTTCCCACAGTATTCACTGCTGGACAGGAGAAACTGAACATTAGGAGTATATGCCTGTGAATAGTATTACTTAAGTAAAAACATAATGCAGTAAGAGCATGATAAAAACAACAGCAACAGATAATACATATTAGTGTAGTCCATAGTCTCTTTCTTTCTATCCAAATCTCTCCTTGAATAATTCTATTATAGTGCACCCAAATTCCTGTATAAAAATGCCATTCTGAATAGTTTTGTTTTATGTAGTTTACAGAAAGCCAAAACTGTGGCCTGACTACCTAAGGCAGGCTATTCCATAGTGTGGAGGCTACTACAGAAAGTGTACATGTACAGGCAGTTGTTGATCCCGCCCATTTGCAGGGTGGGTACCTGTAGAAGGCCCTGTTCAGATGAGAGAACTTGCTATGGTGGGGCATAGGAGAAGAGGTGGTCCTGCAGATATGGGGGCCCAAGACTATGAAGGACTTTATATGTGATCACTAGTACTTTGAATTGAGCCTGGTAACTAATGGGCACCCAATAAAGTAATTACAGAATGGGTGTAATACTGATGTACTTCCTTCTTCCTGATAGTATAGAATGCTGCAGCTCTGTTATTAACTGGACATTTTCAGGGGTGACCTATATAGACTGTGTTACAGTAGTCTAGTCTTGATGTTACTATGGCATGGATCCAGGTGGCCAGATCATTGAAGTCAAGGTAGGGAGCCATTTTCCAGGCTAAATTAAATTGGAAGAAAGCCATCTTTGTGGCTGTATTAGCTTGCTTCTCCAGTAATAATGCTGGGTCTAGTATATAACCTCTAGACTCTTGATCAAATCAGAAGTGGTCAGCTGAACTCCATCAAAAGGAGGAAGCATGATGTCCTTCAAGACCTCAGTCTTCCCAACCAGCATTACCTCTGTCTTGTCAGGGTTCAGTTTCAATTTGTTCACTGTCGGCCATTTAAACACAGCAATCAGGCAGTGGCTCAAGACCTCTTCTACTTCCCATGGAGATTTGGATAGAGAGATATAGAACTGGGTGTTGTAAGCATGCTGATGGCATTGAATTCCAAAACTACAAATGATTTCTCCTAAGGATTTTACATAGAGATTGAATAGCATGTGGGATAAGACTACACCCTGTGGAACACCACAGGACAAATCCCACGGTGATGATAACTGGTCTCCATTGGACAACCCTTTGAATCTGGTCCATAAAGAATTATTTAAATTAATTCAAAGTACATCCTCGATACCTTCTTCTGCCTCCAAACATTTCAACAAAATAGCTTGGTCTACTGTATCAAAGGCAGCAGATAAATACAATAGGAGCAACAAAGAAGTATGGCCTTTGTCTACATTCAGACTGAAATTATCAATCTGTCCCATAGCCTGGTATGAAGTTGTTTCAACTCTCTTTCCTTTTGTTTTTCTTCTCTACAGACAGAGTTTTCAATATCTGCAGAATTTCCAGGACAGTGTCCCCAATATTTATTGTGCACTGAGTCTTACTCAGCTTCTGCTTGCCGTTGCTGAAAAATCTGTGACTAACCTGAAAAATGATAAAATAGGTAAAATGTACAGCATTTCTTCTAATTTATATTGTAGTTATGGCATTAGTCAACATAATGAAGGAGGCAAGCTTTAAAACATCAGAGAACTGGTTCAGTTGTAATGGCAGGTAGTAAAAGCAGTAACCATGCAGTAGGAAAGACAGACTGGTAGTTAAGTCTGCTCAGGAGCCACTTTTGTGATGTGTGGATTTATGCTAGGAAAGGTGCTTTTTTATTGGACTATGCAGGGATTAGTTGATCTCTGCAAATCACTGAGTTTCATGAGCTCTTCTGCAGATGTCTTAACTAGGAATGGGCATGAACTGAAGTACGAACCTAAGTTTGTCATGAACTTGGCCCAGTTCATTGTTTGTGAACCTTGGTTCATGCCATCCCGCCCTAACGAGCCCTACAAACCTCCCAGGTGGTTTTGCGTGGTTCGTGTTGGCAGACACGCTGGCCTCTTTAAATGCCTTCTCCAAGCCATACTGTTGCTGCTGTGCAACTCACAAGTGAATTGAGAAGGCATGTAAATGCCTTCCCAGCTGGAAACGATTTCAGTGATCTGTCAGGACCCACAGCAACAACGAAGCACACACTTATAAGAAGGTTTTACTTTTATTGAAGATATAGATGCGTTGACAGGAACACTGTTAGGAATGGCGGGTAATCTATGCGCATGAAAGGTTATAGGACATTCATATCAGAAATACCCAATTACAGGGGTTCCCGCGCGCAAGCATTAGGCTTGTGAACAAATGGCTAAAAAGCAAAACAGGTAAGAGCTTCCCACGACTCATCCTGGGTAAAGCCAAAGCAACTCCTCCAAGCAACTCCTCCAGCGGCCTTGAAAGATACGCGTTGCTGCAGAGAGGCAATTAAGCGCAAGGGAAGGAATGTGCATGAAAGGGAAACATATGAAACTCTTGGCAGCTTGCTGACATGATCCCTTTCAACCCCCCC